TTGGGCACCACCCCCTTTGGCCCCCCCCTTCCCCTCCGAGAGGGCCCCCCCCTCGAGGGGCTGGGGAGCGGCGTGTGTCTTTCCAGCTTGGGCGTGGGAGCAGGCGCGCCCCTTCAAGCGGGAAAGGGCCCTGCTGGACTCGCTCGGCGTGGGGGGGGTCTTGCAGCCCGTGCCTAGGGCGAGATCTGGGGAGATATGGGGAGATCTGGGGAGATCTGGGGAGATCTGGGGGGCGTCTCGCAGCCCGTGCCTCAGGCGAGATCTGGGGAGATCTGGGGAGATCTGGGGAGATCTGGGGAGATCTGGGGAGATCTGGGGGGCGTCTCGCAGCCCGTGCCTCAGGCGAGATCTGGGGAGATCTGGGGAGATCTGGGGAGATCTGGGGAGATCTGGGGAGATCTGGGAGGCGTCTCGCAGCCCGTGCCTCAGGCGCACACGCTGCAGCACCACGGGGGGCCGAAGCACGATCTCGGCTCGATCTCGGCCCTGCCTCCCGCCCGACCCCCCCCCCCAGGCGGAGCTGGGGGCGAGGGAGGCGGAGATTGCGCAGTTGCGCAAGCGCGCCGAGGTGGCCACGCCTCCGCCCCGCGCACTCCTCGCCCCGCGAGGAAGCGCCGTGGCTGACCCGCCTTGCCACTGCGAGCTGCAGGAGCTTGGTGTGGACGTGATGCCGCGCGAGGCGATGAAGCGGCTCATCGCAGAGCACCTCGAGTCGGCAAGCAGCGGTGCGGCCACCCCGATCGGGCCGAGATCGGGCCGAGATCGGGCCGAGATCGGGCCGAGATCCATCGGCTCCACGACCCGCCACAGAGAGCGAGACACGGGGGGCGAGAGACAGAGGCGGGTACACTCACAGAGGCGGGGAACACCCCCCCCACCCACACACACACACACACACCGCCACCTGCGCCGACTGCGCCGCCCCTGCCGCCTTTCCGCCGCAGGCCGGCCGCGCTCCGCCGTCGAGCTCGCAGAGGCGCTGGCGGGCTGGAACAGCCTAACGGCGGGCCTCTCCCTCGACCGCAGCGGGAAGCCGACCGAGGCCGAGGAGGAGGCGGGCGGCGACGGCGAGGACGGCGGCCTCGAGCACGGCGGCTTCGAGTCCTTGCACGACACGGCACGGCCCCCGAGCGTCTCGTCGCGCATCCCGTCCGTGCGGCAGCACACAAAGACGGTGCAGCGGCTGATGGAGGTGCGCCAACCTCGCCGGAGGCACTTGCACGACCCGCCCACGACACGCCCACGACACGTCCATGGCACGCCCGCGACACGCCCGCGACACGCCCACGACACGTCCACGACACGCCCACGACATGTCCACGACATGTCCACGACACGTCCACGACGCGTCCACGACGCGTCCACGACACGTCCACGACACGTCCACGACGCGTCCGCGTCCCGTCCCGTGCGCAGGGCTTTGAGATCCAAGTCAACTTGCGCCGGCCGGGCGTGGCCGAGGGGCTGGAGGTGGACGACTCGCTCGGGCAGGCGTTCGTCCCGTCGGGGAGGCCTTGCCCGCCCGTCTACCAGAGGCTAGCGACCTCCGAGCTGCTGCCGAGCCGCTCCAACCGCAGCTCGATGTCGTCCCTCGCCGCCAGCTCCCTCTCCCACCGCTCCTCGCCGGCCAGGGGCAGGCGCGGCCCCGGCGGCGCAGACGGCGCGGGCGGCGGCGAGGATGCGAGTGGGGCCGGCGCGGCCACCGAGCCTGCCTCCTCCTCCCTCCCCAGCCTGCTCGGGCCCTGGCCCGAAGGCGCAGCGCCGAGCGGCGTCGCGCCTGACGGCCCTGCCGCCGGCAGCTCCCTCAACAACTCGCTGTACCTATCCGCAGAGGCGGACGTGCGGAGGACGCTGGCGGGCTTCACGGCGATGGCGACGGCAGAGCCGCCCGCCGCCCTCCCCCCCGCCCCCCGCCCCCCCGCTCGGGGGGGGAAACTCCCCCCCCCCTCGTGCGCCCGGCGGCTCGGCGGTGCGCTGCCCGCCGGCTCGCCCCCCGCGCAAGAGGTGCTCGGCCGCAGCCTCCTCGCCTCCTCGCGCGCGCTTGTCCGCCCCTCCTCGACCATTGGTCCGCCCGCCGACGCCGCGCGGCCGACCGACCGCGGTGCTGCCGGCGGGGCCGTCTCCGAGAGCGCCATCAACTGCATCTCCGCGAACGGCGCGAGCAGCGGCGCAGGCGCGGCGGCGGCGGCCGGCGCGGCGCACGGAGGCGGAGAGACAAAGGCGCGGTCGGCGCGGCCGGATTGGCCGCTCGGCTCCGAGCCGCGTCTATTCACACCTCCAGCGCGTGAGCAGGCGGCGCGACCCGACAGCTCGCCGCCCAACGAGAGCCCGCGGCGGGTCTCCTTTCTGCTATGAGGGCAAGCCCTGCCGTCCACCGTACCGCCATTCCCGCTGCCGACGCCGCCGGAGGCGCGAGGCTTGAGGCGCTGCCGGGGGGAGGGCCTCGCTCGCCAGCCTCGCAGCGGGGGCGAGCGAGCCGCGCGTGAGTGGCTGCGTTCGGCAGCCGCTGAAGACGCAAGGTCGGTGTGCTGTGCTGCCCAACCGGCACACCGCTTGCGGTCGGACCCTGGAAGATGATGTGCTCTCTGGGGCCTGGGGGGGCTCTGTGCATGATGTCAGAGGGGAGCAGGTTAGCCACTGCCCACCGGGCCGTGACCGTGGGGCGGCATGCGCGCCGCTGAGTCTATTTATTCGAGAATTGTGATCCCAAAAAATGTGCGACAGAGGTCAGAGCTCAGAAGGAGGGCACCGCACACCCCTGCGCGCGCACGGCGCAGGTCCAGGTCCGCAGGTGCGTGGGCCACACATGGGCCAAGGCGGCCGCGGGGCACCCCACAACACGTCAGACGGAGAGAGTATATGCGTCTGGTGCGGCGTAGCGTTCGCGCGCAGAAGGAAGCAATCGCGCGATGAACGCGTGAATGTGTGAGCACCGGCACTCAGTCAACAGGCTCAGGCACCTCGGGCCATGGGGCGCCGATCGCGAAGTACTTCAAAGCGATCTCGACATCGATCGGCCCCTGCATCTCACCGAGTGCAAACCCGACATCGACGTGGCCAGTCGCAGTGTGGAAAGACGGCTGGATGTGACAGTAGGGAAAGACCTGCTCTTGGTGACCATATCCGTGAAAGTCGTAATAGTTTACTATGAGACCCTCCTTCTCTGGCAGTGCCTCTTCTTCATAGCAGACGGTACCGTCCTCTATCTCGCGAATGCCTTCTGGTTGAAACCCGGTAAAATGGAACATGCGGAAGGAGCTCAAGTCTCGGCGCCGCGTCGCGAAGATGGAGAGCGTCATCGAGCACAAGACGGACCGAGGAAAAGTTGTCCCCCGATAAACCACTTCCTCCGTCAGCCAAGCCGGCCGCGTTGCGTCGGTCCAGGGCTGAGGGTTACAGATCCGGTCCCAGCCCGTGTAGGCGGGGTTGGGATAAGTCCAGCTGGTGAGAGGCGCGCTCCACGCTGCGCTCCAGCCAAGGGCGGGCACTGCGAGCTCGACGGAGAAGACGTACTCAGAAAGGTCTGGGAAGCTGGGCGGCGGCGGCGGCGCAACTCCCGCAAGTTGTTTGCGGTAGATCGACTTGAAAGATAGTGACGTTGGCACGAGCTCCAGCAAGCTCTTGAGGCAAGGGAACCTCGCCAACGCGAACTCCCGCCACATTTCGTCGCCGGCTGCGATGATCGGTGCACGAAGCTGTTTGCTCGTCTGTGCCATGGCGCACAGCACCGACGCGCCGCCGCGGCGGGCGATGTGCGCAAGCAGGTCAGCTTCGAGGTCCATGAGGGCGACCATGACAGGCAAGGGTTAGGGCTCCAAGGGAAATAAAAAGCGGAGGCCTCAGTGGGAGCGAACTCTGACGGAGAGGGAGGTTCCCCGTGTTTGTTTGTTAGGGCTCCAAGGCGGGCCGGGGGCCGCCAATCTTGCGTGAATTATTGCGATAAGGAGAACGGGAGCGGCCACGCGCAAGTTTTGGGTGGCCCTTGAGCCTGAATGGCGGCGATATGTTTGAAACTCTGTTGCGAACTCGCGCCACATTTTATCTGCGATGATCGGGAGAGAGAGAGAGAGTTTGTTGTATGATCGGTGCAATCGCCGGACACTGGCGAGTACAGACCATGTCTCACACATATGGCCATCGGTTGTCCTGGATAGCAAGTGCGGGCTAGCACCGAAGCGATTGGGAGGGGTGCGGGAGAACCCGCTTCGGTGCGACGCATCGAATCAAACCGCGCGGATTCAGCCTCACGGGATCCCTCACGACCACACCATGTCCGCTGCTCGTTTTCGACTTGCCCAAGGGTCCGGTCGTCCAGCCGCCGCCATCGCCGCCGCCGCCGCACTCCTCTCGACCCTCGTCGCCGCTCCGCCTCCGACCCTCTCCGACGTCATCAGCAGCCTCGATCACGCCGTCGCCGCGCTCGGCCTCTGGCCTACCGCCGAGTCTGCTGCGGCTGGCGACCACGACTGGTGCGTAAACGCAGAGTGCATGCGGACAGTGTTCCGAGTGTCTGCGTCTGAGGTCACCCTCGGCGGGGTGCCGGACGTGGTGATCGGTGACTTCTCGGTCCTGCGATTCCTGCTCTCGGTGGCCGTGGCCGGCGTCGTGACCAATGTGGCCATGAGAATCGCCGACCGAATCGCGTGCATGCTCTTCGCCCACTTTGACGCGAGCAAGTGCAGCCTTCCTTCGGTGCTGCCTTGGCCCGACCCGCCTGGCAATAGCACGCCGTTCGACGTGCCGGTGCCCGAGGCGAGCGAGGAGCAGCTCGCCAAGTTCCTCGCCTTCCGTGGCGTCGCGCTGCCGGCGTCTGATGCAGCTCGGCGCGAGGCGGCCGCTCGTGAGGCGGTCTCGTACATGGCCGAGCTCTTCGACCGCAAGCACAACGACTGGTGCTACCGGCACTACGCGCTCAAGGAGAAGGGCCTCTCCTTCCCGTACCGCGCGCCATTCATGAACGCGTGGGACTTTTACGGCGAGACGTCGGCGCACCTGCGCCCCGTCGGGAATGGACAGGTCATCTTTGCGCTCCACCACACCGTCGAGGGACTGCTGCTCCCGCTGCTCTACTTTTCGAGCGGCGACGCGTCCTTCTTCTACTTCGCGCTGTACGCAGACATGGGCGTGGAGGCGTACATGACATCCTCGCCCTGCTCTGGCGGCATATCTCCCCATATCTCCCCGTATCTCCCCTACAGGCATATGACATCCTCGCCTTGCTCTGGCGGCGAGCCACGGGCGTCGACCACACGCTCACGCGCCACCACCCGTCGGTGGACGCGGTGCTGGCGCCGCATCTGCTCCGCTACCCGCCATGCGTGGGAGAGGAGCGGCGCCACCTGGCTGTACGTGCTCTAGGTGCCGCACCACCTCTTTGCCATCTGCTTCGAGCTCGTCGGCGCTCTCGCGCCCGGTGCCGCACCACCTCTCCAGACTCCGTCTGCTCATTGCGTCCACGGGGTGCGCGGAGTAGGCCTCATGGCGGGCCCGCTCCTCTCCAAGACCTTCATGCTGCATGTGGCGGCGTCCGCACACCTCTCCGGTGTCTTCATCCTCGCGGCCATCGTGCTGCACCAGACGCCGGCGCAGGCGTGGCCTCGCTTCCTCTACCGCTTCCAGGCCGCCGTCCTCGCGGCCATCTACGCGTGCCGCATCGTCTGGTGGGCCCCGATCGCCGCCGCTTCGCTGCGGCTAGGGTACTTGGGCTTCCCCCCGCTGCTCGCCCCGTACGTCGCGCGCGGATTCGGGTCCGAGCCGCGCCTCCTCTCGCCCTGCTTCCTCACCGTGCTCCTCCTGGTCGCCTTCTACACCTACTTCAACGCCGACACCGTCCAGTACAACCGCAAGCTGCTGCGCAAGGCCGGCGAGAGGGTGCAGCTTGCGAACGAGGCCGAGGAGCGCATGCTGCGCCAGGCAGGCGACAGGCGGCGGCCAGCGACCGAGGAGGAGCGCACGCCGTACTCGTGCTAGAGAGAGACAGAGACGTCAGAGAGAGACAGTCAACGGGGCCGAATCGCAGAGAGAGGGAGGAGGAGGACACGAGGGAGGAGGGAGAGCGTTTCTCGTCGGGCAGCCCCCGCGCGCTCCGGTCTCGTACCACACAAACCGCGAGAGCGGCGTCGGGCCAGACTCAGAGACCGCGTCAGTCAGTGTTGCGCTCGGTGAATTCCTTTTTTGGGTACAGGACGGGGGCACGAAAACTGGTCTCACGTGAAAACGACGCGGACCCACAACACAACGAAAACGCCCCGCCGCTCTCCGTACTCCCTACTCGGAGCGGCTTCGATTTTCTTTATCTTTTGGGGGGGCACGACTCTATCGTCTGTGTGGGCGCTTCACGCAACAACCCCGGGCCCAAAAGACGCACAAGCACAATTTGAGAAGGGAGAGACAGCAACCGCGACAGTCAGAGCGGACAGAGGTGCGGGCTCTCAGTCTATCGCGAGCGGCCTCTCGCTCTGTGTGCACCGGGGCGCGGCGCGCCGCGGCGGCAACGCCCGCCCCGGCTCACGTATCATAGATCGTATCTCCCAAACAAATAGCCGGGGTGCCTCACTTAGGGCTCTTTGCGCGTTGCCTCAAGGGTGGCACAGGCCTCTTCGGCCGTCCAGTGAATCGCACAGCTCGCTCTGGCGCTTTCGGTGCTGTCACCTTCATGCCTCGGTTCCGCCCTGGTGAGGACGATGCTGCCTTGGTTTCCTCCACCATCTCGCCCGTCTCAAAGTCCCAACGGAAGCGGCGAGGCGGCCGCTGAATGTCCCACCGGACAGCCGGCAGAGCCTGACTCGCAAGAGGGGGTTTAGGCTCAAGCTCCACAGACTCCCAGCGGCCCGCCGCCCTTCGCCTCGGCTTCCAATCGCTGTAGTCACTGTGCAGGAGCATAATGGGCGGCGATTCAGCCTCAGTCGATGCGGATGAAAGAGCTCGTCCTTCCGACTCGGTGGACCTTCTCGCCAGCGAGCGCTCTCGCCAGGTCCACGGCATGTCCTCTGCCGCGAGCCTCCATCGTCCGAGTGCTACGAGCTCACGCTCGAGGCGCAAACTGAGCTGTGGAAGGCGAGGTGAGCCTGGCGCAGGTAGAGTTATTGCGCTCATTGAGAGAATGCGGCTGATGTCTGGCAAGGTCGGGACGTCCATGGCTTCGGGGAACGTCGGTGAGACGATGACCTCTATCCCCCTCTCGAATTGAGGCGTAAGCGGTGCTTCCTTAATCGGCGAGGGACTGGTAAGAGAGATAGGAAGAGGCGGACGCCCAAGGGTGGGCGACGGATAGCAACACACCTTCCTTCCCGTGAAATCCCTGTGTGGTGGCGGCGTGCAACAAAAACGCCGGCAAAGCCCTCGATGTCCGTGTCGACGGCACGTACGCCACCGCCCTCTCCTCCGACGCCCTCCAGGACGAGCTCCAGCGGAAGCTCGGCCTTTGGCTCTCCGTGGCGCTTCCCACCCTTCGGGTCGCGCTCGAGCGGGGCATGCCAGTCGATTTCTTCGGCGACTACCTTTACAACAAGGCCCACCACCGGCGGCCCCACGACGGCGTCCTCGCCGCCTGGGCGGACGCGATGCGCGCCCCGGCCAACGCGCCGGTCGTGCACGGTGACAAGGAGAAACCAGAGCTCACCCGGCAGTACAACGAGGGGTACAAGGTCGACCTCGCGGAACCCCACGCTGGCCCGGGAGGATGCGATGAGGTGAATGAAGTCAAGCTCTGGACGCCCCTCCTCAAGACCTCCTCGGCGGGCGTTGGCAACGCCTCGAGCGGCGGCACGCCCGCCTCCGTTGGCCACTCCTACGCCTTCGGCAACACCGAAGAGAAGGCCCGCCGCCTAAACATGGGCTGCAAGGCGCGCGGGCAGCCCGGCCAACCCTTCGACCACAAGAACGGCCACGGCTACGTCAAGGCGCATCGCGGTTTCTACCACGACGCGATCTTTGTCAAGCGCAACAACTTCAACCTGCTGCTCCACGAGACGTTCGGCGGCGGCTTCTCGCCCACCGCCGTTCTCAAGCTGCGCCGCCTCGCGCGCAAAGTCGCGCGCGGCAGCGTCGACCGCACGGCCTACTCGCCCAAGTACTCGCTTTCTTTTATGTCCCACCATGCAGAGCGCATCTCTCTCTCTGTTGTGCGAGGCGTGAACCGCGCCATTCGCTCTCACCTGGCAACCCTGTCTGCACGTCTCGCGCGCGCGTGAACAGGGCTCCAGGCCCCAAATGACGTGTGAGTGTTAGAGTTGTTTGGTATTGCTAAAAATCTCTCTCTCGGCGTGCCGTCCTCCCCTCCCAAAGCCCTGGTTTCTTTCTCAGTGCGCGCCAGCCCGTGCCCAGTGTTGTGCGAGGGAGTTTCGTTGTAAAATTCTTTCTTTTCCCGTAAGGGGCCGTCGCCTGCTGTGCAATTTGTAGCGCCAGTCCGAGCCAGTCTGCTGTGAGAGGGGCTTATGCTAGAATTCTTTTCTGAGGCTGGGATACAAGACGCTCACGGCTGGCGCGCACTTGAAAAAAGAATTTTATAACCAAACTCCCTCGCACGACACTAGGCACGGGACTGGCGCGCACTGGCACTAACACAGGTTGAAAAAAGAATGTGAAAAACAGAAATTTCCAACCTGACATTCATCGCCCATCGCCGCTGTCCTGGTCCGCCTATAGCGTTTGTGAGTCCTTGTCGCTGCAAAAGAATTCTAAGTAGCAGGATTACAAGTTGGTCCGCGCGCCCGCCGTCGGCTGGTCCGCACAATCACCGAGCCGCCATGCGCCCGACGTGCCCGCCTCCGACCAAGCAGTACGTCGCGGCCCAACGGGCGGAGCACACCAAGCTGGATGCTGGATGCCCGGACGCCTACGCGGTCCTCCGCGAGCAGGCGCCGTTCTGGATGCTGCAAGCGCAGATTGCCTACTCGGTGCCAGACAGCTCCGAAGACTGCGCAGACTTTGAGATGAAAAAGGTGGAGAAGGAGTACAACACGGTCTCCTTCACCGATACGATCACGAAGCTGCAGCAGGACATGCAGCCGGGCCACCTACCTGGTGGCGGGTACCTTGCGATGGGCTCGTTTTTCAAAGGCAGTGGCAACGCCGCTAATACGCTGAGACTCCAGGGCCGCTACTACCTGACTGCGGTTGGTTCGGCGGACTGGACGATGAAGAACGAGTGGAGCCACGTCGAGTTCGCTCCGAGGGACTCCTACATTCTCGCATTTTCCGGCACCGAGAACATTCCGAAACCGAGTTTCGAAGCCGGCGAGGACTTTGATTGGAGGCCGGTGGAGGTGCCGGCTGACTTCTACCCCCCTGGGTATGTGGGTCCCAAGGTGTGTACATACAAGTGGATGCTCGAGGTGAATAGCGCCGGCTCCAGCACCCACAATCGCATTTGCTGAGCCACTTTTCACGTCTGTATAGGCGCACAACGCCATGTTTGAGGGAGTCACGTGCGGCGAAACTATGACGGGGGTGACGGAGGCACACGTTATAGCTGCCTCTGGCTCTGCTTCTGCCTCCTCACCAGCCTCCTGCCCTATCCGCTATCCTCCTGTCAGGCGCTCATGCAGGCAGGCTTCGTACTTGCGGGGACCGACTCGCCCAACGTCGGCCGCCCAAAGGAGATCACGATCGTGGGGCACAGCCTTGGGGGCGGGCAGGCGCAGCTCGCGGCGGTGCACATCGCTCTCAAGTACAACGCCAAGGTGCGGGTCATTACTTACGAGTCCATCATGGCCTTCACGCCAGAGACGGCCAAGTGGATTGTGGAGGGGTCCGAGGGATCGCACCCGCATGACAAGCTGATCTGGCCGTGCGAGCATACGGTGACCACTGCCTTCCCGGACGTTGGCGGCAAGATCGCCGCGCAGCGCTGGGTCGAGAATGATTCGCCTCTGTCGGCGGCCCCGCTGCTGCTCCCCGCTGGAGGGCCCGTCTGCCTCGCGTGCAACCTCTGCTGCTGGCCTTACAAGTTCAACTTGGTCGGATGCTGGCCCTTCAATTCCAAGCTCGGCGACGGCTACATCTCCAAGGCGCTCGTGCTGAGCGGGTTCAAAGCGAAGTTGTCCGCCTCCGGCAAGGCAACTGCGGGCGGCGGGCCATGCGCAGGCTGCACCGGAAACGGCGGGCCCCCGTACGATGACTGCGAGTTCGACTTCCACGAAATGGGCCGCACGTATGTGACGAAGGGGGCGCGCCGGCTGCGCTGGTTCACGTGCTTCCCTCCATGCGTGCTTTGCAACAGCATTGACCGCTCACAGAGCCACCAGCAGAAGTTTCTGCTCTGGATGCTCTACAAGGGCGCCTACCAGAACAAGACTCAGGGCCCCGCCTTCAACGAATCGAAGTACGTGCCAAGTGTCTGGAAGCACCCCCCAAACCAGTGACCGTCCCTTCCACCTCTTGCGCCGAAACTGAGATCGAAAGCGAACCGGCGCACTGGCACAAGTTCATGTATGTAAAAGAGTGAGGGCAAGACGAATTATGAACTCTCTCTCACAGCAGACAGGTTCGACCAGCCACCGGAGCAAACAAAAAGAAGCGCCGCGGCGTCCGTCCCTCCTGCCCAATGCGCGCCTCCTAATCGCCCGTCGACATGAGGATCATTTTGCGAAAACCGCTACCTGTGTCACCACCGCCACCTTCGCCGTCGCCACAACTGCCTGACTTTCAGGGGTTAGCGTTGGCTGACAAGCCGGTCGATTACCTGACCCTCATCCTTGGCTGGCTCGGACCGCAGGACGCTTTCCGAGCAGCAGCGGTCAGCCACGACTGGCGAGCCTCCGCAGCGCACGCCCAGTGGCGGCGCGTCGTCCTCGTGGCGTCCAGAGACCCGAGACCCACCTCGGCCCAGCTGGCGGCGATGCTGCATCCACAGTGCACGAGCCGGCTCGAGGAGCTTCGGCTCCGGCTGGTGACTGCAGGCAGTCGCCTCTGGGTCGACATCGACGGCCGGCTATTGAGCTTGAAGCACGCGTCCGCTCTGCGGCGGCTGGAGCTCACGTATGGCCCCTTCCGCGGGAGCCAGATCACGGAGGCGGTCGCGCTCGCCATTGCACAAGCCGGAAACGTGCGGGACGTGCACCTCGGAGCCGACTTGAGCGTGCGGGCACTGATCGCGCTGCTGTGCAGCCCAGAGCTGCGGACCCTCAAATTCCACGCGTGCGCCGAGCAGCCCCCCGAAGCGCTGCCGCCGCTGGCCGCGCGCAAGCTACGCGCGTTGCGTTGCGAGGTCAAGCTCGCTCCACTCGCGTGGCTCGCGCTCTTCACGCCCCCGCCGAGCACCACCTCCCTCCGCGAGTTCGAGCTGGCGGCCAAAGGGCAGTGTGCTCTGGAGGACGCCGTCGAGGGCGTTCGCGCGTTCTTCGATGGGCAGCCCTCGTGGGACTCGTGTTTGGCGCGTTTGCGCCTCCCTGACCTGGTGTGCCCACTCCCCGCAAACAACGCCCAGGCGGAAGCAATGGTCGAGGCCGCGGCCAACGCTCTCCGAGGCCTCCCGTGCACCTTGACCTATAACACTAGACCGCCTTCCGTGAGTATCTCATCGCGACTGAATTCGTCTTCCCCAGGCTCATGACGGACACAGTGTGTTGTGTCACAGGCTCTCTGCCGGCCAAACTCCTCTCTCTCCTGATCTCAGATACTCAGACGTCAGAGTGCAAAACGCTAATGGCTGCGGTAAACGTCGCGGGAGACCGGATCGCGAGGTCTCTGCGCGGTCTGGCGCGTCACAAAGCCGTAGGCCGCTTTATAAAGCCGTACAACGAAGCGACCCGACAAGGAGACACATCGACTCAGAGCCGCCGCGCGACTAGGCGGGTCTAGGCGCTAGGCGGTTTGAGTCAGAGCTGAGTCAGAGGTCCAAGACAGTCCGCGCCGCGAGAGCCGCGACGTGCCATGGCGGATTTGCGCAGTCGTTGCGCTGCGTGGTTGGGCGGGGACGTGTCGCGCCCCTCCCCGCCCTTCACGCTGGCTGAGGCTGCCGCGTGTCCTCCCGCACGTCCGCCGCCGTCGCGAAGCGCACGATCGCGTCGGCGACGTAGGCCGGGTTCTCGAGAGCAGGCGCGTGCTGCGCGTCGGGAATGAGCTCGACGCGCACGCAGTCTGGGAGGTGCTCCTGGGGAGGGGGGGGGGGGGGGGGGGACACCTCTCCCCCCCCTGGCAAAGGGGGGGCCCGCCCAATGTGTTTTGTGGCGGCGGCAATCTCGGGTGACCTCGGGGGGGCCCTGCAGGGCGCCTGGTACTTGAACGCGTCCTCGACGGGGAGGACGTCGTCTTCCTCGCCCCAGAGCACGAGGGTGGGCTGGGGCACCGTCCGGATCAGCGGCTCCGAGACGCGGTTCTGGTACCCCCCCGAGCGCAGGTACGCCTGCAGCGCCTGCCTCCAGCCCTCCTCCTTGGCCCAGACGTGCGGGTAAGGCAGCAACCCGTTGGTGGCGCGCCACTGGAAGAGGTTCGTCACGGGGTCGGCGGCGAGCGAGGTGAGGAAGGGATCGGGCTGCGCGTAGCTCTCTCCGCCGGCGTCCATCAGGATGAGCCGGTCGACGCACCTAGCCGGACGTGTCGCGGACATGTCACGGACACTGCGTCGCACGCGTTCCACTGAGGCGGGCGCGTCGGCGCACTCGGGGTGCGTCGCCGCGAAGTCGAGGGCGACGGCGCCGCCGAGGGAGGCGCCGAGCAGCGTCACCTATCCCGGGTGCAGCACTCGCTCCCATCTCTCGGCCCGACCTCGGCCCGACCTCGCGCGGCTCTCGGCGGCGCGCTGCTCTCGTGCGGCCCTCGGCGGCGGGGCTGCGGCTTCCAAAAGGCGGCGGGGCTGCAGCGCCTTAGTGTCGCCGAGCTGCCGCTTCCAAAAGGCGAGCTGGTGCTCGCGGATGAGGTCCCACGGCTCGGCCTTGCCCGCCGAGATCGCCTCCGTGAAGGGCGCGCGCGCCGTGAAGCCGCCACTCCACCACTCCATCGCCTACGGGCGAGGCGCGCAGGACGGAGGTGGCGCCGCCCGCTCCCTGCGCGCCGGCCGCCGCCCGGGCCCACAGAAGGGTCGCCTCGACGCGCAGCCCGGCGTCGAGCAGCGGCTGGGTGAGGTAGCGGAACTCGAGCAGGCTCGAGTCGAAGCCGTGGATCAGCATCACCGGCGGCGCCTCCGCCGGCGCCTCGGGCGTCAGACTCAGGTAGCAGGTCTCGACCGGCCCGACCGACGGCACGGTGATCGGCGCGAGCTGCATCTGCTGCACGCAGGTGACCGCCTGCGGCGCACGTGCCGAAGGCGCGTCGGTGGGCGCGCCGGGCGGGCGGCGGTGCTGCGGGCGGAGTGAGCGGCGGTGCGAGAGAGAGAGGCAGGAGGTGTCTCGGAAGCGGCCCGCGCCTCGGGCTCGGTCAGCTCCCGCGCCTCCTCGCCCTGCCAGGCGGGCAGGTCGAGGAGCGCGGCGGGTTCTCCGTCCTCGGCGCCCTCGCCCTGGTACGCCTTCTTCCACGCCGACGGCGTGATCGACAGCGCGAACTCCTTGAGGAGCTTGTTTTCGTTGGCGCCCGACGCGTCGCGCTCGTCTGGGTCGCCGCCGAGGAAGAGGACCATGAGCGCGGCGCCCGAGGCCATGTTGCCCTTGCCAGCGAGGAGCGCGATCAGCAGCACCGCGCCCACGCCCGCCGCTGCCACGCCTCCCACCGAGTCGAGCAGCGAGTCGGCGACGAGCGCCGATGGTAATTGCTCCGGCAGCAGGAGCGCGGCGGGCTGGGCGAGCCGAGGGAAGAGAGCAGGCCCGAGCGGCTGCGCCGCTGCCGGGCGGATTGGAGCGTGGAGGAAGGCGAACGACGCTGAAGCGAGGAGCGAGGCCGCCATCGGCGAGCGGAGGTCGATGATCGCCGCCCCTAATGCTGCGTTGGAGAAAAGAAAAAACCCGAGTTCTCCTATCTCCCACAGCACTACAAGGGAATGGCGCCATGGTACAAACAAAGGTACATAAAAACCCCGGTTGATCTCAGCAAAAAGTCCAGCTCCTTCCCTCGTCGCGTATTTCCAATGTATGTGGCTCTTTCTGTTTTCCCCATTCCAAAAACAAATTGCTAAAAATCTCTCTTTTCGATCCCATATTCCTACTACTCGAACGATCACACAGGGCGCGGGGCGAGCCACATCATCTGGTTCGCGAAGAAGGAAATTCCTTTTCCGATGGCCAATATGAATTTTTCCACGAAGTAGAAGAAGTGTCACAAATGAGAAATGTCAGATGGGAGCGAGGAGGGTCGCTGGCGTGATGAGCAACGGCGCGCCGAGTGCGGACGCGAATATTGGCGATGGCGGGGCGAGCCGCGACGGCGGTCGCGATCGCGCGATGAGCCGCGTCGGGATGAGCTGCGACGGCGCGATGAGCGTTGGCAAGGCGAGCAATGGCCGCACCATGACGGGCGGCAAGATGAGCGGTGCGGCTGCAGCGACGCTTGGTGCAGTGGGCGCGAGCAGCGATGGCACGCTGAGCCACACGCCCCCGCTGAGCGATGGCGCGACGAGCCTTGGCGAGGCTTGCGACGGCCGCATCATGACGGGCGGCATGACGAGCGGCGCGGCTACGACGATCAGGGCAGAGGCCAACGCGAGCGCGACTGGCACGATCCGCGCGATGACCGGCGCGACGACCAACGCGGCGAGGGGCAGCCTCAGCACAGCGGTCGCCGGGTGGGACCGCCGATGCACGGTGCGCAAGGATGCGACGAGCAGGGAAACTGCGACGCACCAACGCGCAATGAGCGCCTCGCGTCTAACCGCTCTGCTGCCGGCGGTCAGCTCAATGCTAAGCAGATCAACGGCCAGATCTCGCATGCCAGCGGCGCCATTGAGCTGCTCGCGCTCTTTGCTGCCCACAGCGCGAGCTTGAACCACATCCACGCTGCGAACCTGTGGAACAAACTGGGCAAGCAGCGCGTCGAGCGGCGGCACGAGGAGCAGCTTGAGCAGCTAGTGCACCGCACGCTCGACCTTGTTTCTTCGTGCCGAGCACGCGAGCTGGCCAACGTGTCTCACGGCGTTGCAAAGTGCGGCCTGCAAGCGCGGGTGGCGTACCCGTTGTTCGTAGCGGTGGCGGAGGCGGCGGCGCGGAGCGGGCTGGCTGGCTTCACCCCTCAGAACCTGGCCAACACGGTGTGGGCGTATGCGACGGCGGGCGTGGCTGCGGACGCGCTGTACGCGGCGGTGGCGGAGGCGGCGGTGCGTGGCGGGCTGGATCGCTTCAAGCCGCAGGAGCTGGCCAACACGGTGTGGGCGTATGCGACGGCGGGCGTGGCAGCGGTCCGGAGACGCTGTACGCGGCGGTGGCGGAGGCGGCGGTGCGGAGCGGGCTGGCTGGCTTCAACCCTCAGAACCTGGCCAACACGGTGTGGGCGTATGCGACGGCGGGCGTGGCTGCGGACACGCTGTACGCGGCGGTGGCGGAGGCGGCGGTGCGGAGCGGGCTGGATCGCTTCAACCCCCAGGACCTAGCCAACACGGTGTGGGCGTATGCGACGGCGGGCGTGGCTGCGGACGCGCTGTACGCGGCGGTGGCGGAGGCGGCGGTGCGGAGCGGGCTGGATCGCTTCAACCCCCAGGACCTAGCCAACACGGTGTGGGCGTATGCGACGGCGGGCGTGGCTGCGGACGCGCTGTACGCGGCGGTGGCGGAGGCGGCGGTGCGGAGCGGGCTGGATCGCTTCAACCCCCAGGACCTAGCCAACACGGTGTGGGCGTATGCGACGGTAGACTATTATCACCGGGCGCTGCTTGCCGTCTGCTCGCGCGTGATCAGCGACTCGCTCGCGCGGGATCCCTCGATACGGAGCGAGGAAGCCCGCTCTCAGCTGCACCAGTGGCAGCTCTGGCTCTCCCTTGAGCGAGGAGCAGACGGGCAGCAGCACCTCCTCTCCGAGTCCCAACGCAAGCTCTGCTGCGACGCCATGCAAGGCACCGAAGTTACGATCTCGCGCTTACAGCGCTCTGTCGCGATTGCCCTCGCCGCCGTCCAGCACGGCTTCGAGGAGGAGCATCTCGAGCCGCGCACCGGCTACTCGCTCGACCTGGCGCTGCCCTCATCACGCCTCGCGGTCGAGGTGGACGGCCCCTATCACTTCCTGCTGCCCGAGGGCCTGGGCATGCGCAGACCCAATGGGCCAACGTTGCTCAAGCGACGCCTCCTCGCGGCGGCTGGCTGGAGGGTGATCAGCGTTCCATTCTACGAGTGGAACGGCTTCGCGACGGCCAAGGAGCGGCAAACCTACCTGCAGGGGGCGGTCGCCCCGCTGTTGGGCTTGTAGTACTGTGCACACTCTGACTCTTATCATTGTCCTTGGCGGGCGGCTCCGTGGTTTACCTGTGTTTAGTCGGCCAGTGCGCGCCAGTCCCGTGCCCGTCGGTTCCTGTGCGTTAAACTATTTGAAAAACAAAGAAAGACAGAAAACAGACCAAGGGGGGGGGCGTAAGGGGGAGGGATGGGCGATTGAAATTTTGCAATTTGGACACACCCGCGGGTTTTTTCTCTGCTTTGTTCACCCCAGGGTTCGGACTTTTTGCTGGGAAACAGGTATGGTGTAATCATCCGAGCCTCCTCAAGACCATACCCCCCCGCCTGCTGACAGACCAAGCCTCGCGCCGACAGGACCATACCCCCTCCCCCCCCGACTCCCCCTTCGCCCCGCCGGCCGCTTACTGCTAAGGTCCTAGCACCTAGGAGGCTGGCAGACACCGACCGACCCGCACACTAGCACATTGGGCTCTCCCCCCCTTTTCGCCAACCCACTAAATGCCACCGAGAACCGGGTTCTGTGAAGAGGGTCGCGCGTAGATGCGAGCCCGTTCGCTCCCTCGCACGACACCGAGGTGTCGCCAGCAGGCGCGCGGCGTGAAACGCGCCTGCGTCTAGCGTCGCCAATGCGGGTCGGCAACTCGGTTCGCGTGCACTCGCTGCTTTCCCGTCCGGATCTCAATGGCTGCCGGGGCAAGGTGTCCGAGGCCTTTGACGCGCTCGCGGGCCGCGTGGGTGTGCTCGTCGACGGAGAGAGCCGCCCTCTTGCGTTGCGCCCCGCAAGCCTCACGGAATTGACGGCTGAGGCCATCGACGCCGTCCTCTCCGACGAGGATCTGGTGCGCCTGGTCCTGCTGCACCTGCCGCGCTGGTTGCGGGCGGGCGTCCTGACGGGGGTCTCCGCGTCCATCCGGAGATGCGTGTTGGAGCACCCCGATCTGTACCGCTCGATTGTGGTGGTCGCGAACGTGGAGATGATCCCGAGTAGAGTGGTGCCTACTCGTGCGGCGCTAGGCGGCCAAGGGAACTATGGGGCACGGCAGTGCGTCGAGGAGGGCGCTCTCCCTCTGCTGCCGGCACACGCCGCAGCCATCTCGGACAAGAGCTGGGTGGAGACCCTCCTGATCGAGCCAGTCAAGGACTCCGGGCTGAGGGGCCCCGTCGCCGCCGCCGCCGCACGCCGCGCCACTTCGGTCACCTGCGCCCAGCTTTCCGCCGTCGTCAATGCGGAGTGGCCTTCACTGACGACTCTGCTCGCACCCGGCATGGACAAGTTCATCAACATGGAGCCGACTCCCGAAGCGCAGCGGGTGCGGGCAATGCAATGCCGCGACTGGGTCCGCCGCCACGTGCAGCGGTCGGTGCTGCATTTGCACCTGCTTGGCGACGTGTACGTCCAGTATGGAAACAACTCCTCAATCTTGCTGTTCGATCCGGCCGACCAGCCAGGCTTGATCTCTATGCAATTGGACAACGGGCAGGTAATCCCTCCCCCGGACTTCCTCGGGGAGCTTGTGGCGAGCTGGCCGGCAGCGGTTCGTGCCAAGTTGCGCAACTTGGACTTCCCAAGCTCGTTCTATCCAGCGCTCGATGATGTCGTCTCTGCCTTTGGGCAAGGGCTCTTGCCCAACTTGCGCCGGCTCAGGTTGGGGATTGGTCGCCCCGACGAGGACGATTTTAATCGCCTTGCGCTTACGGCAGCCAACACCAAGATCGAGGCCATCTATCTCCACATCGACTCTAGCGAGGATTTGCCGATCGACTGCCTAGATGTCTTTCAACGCGTGAGCACGTTGCAGGAGCTGGTGGTCGCCTGTGACAGCTGCACTTGGACGCCTTCGGGATGTGACGAGTGCCATGTGACCCAACATCTCCGCTCGCGCCTGGGAAACGTCGCGCTCGTGATTTGCGATGTCACTGACATCTCCGAAGCACTCGATTCTCTCCATCGGGCCTTTCTCCCGTCTGCTGCAGAGGAGTGGCACCGTTCCTCATGCTCGAACCTCGCCATGGGGACTTTGATGGGTCCCATGCGTCGCCTCGCAGAGACTTTGCCCTTTCTGCGCGGGAGGAGGGGCCAGGCCAGGATGGAGCTGCCCGATGAGGTGTGGGATGCAGCCGCGAAGGGCGATAGCTTGACGACGATGGCGTGGCTTCACACTGGAGGGCATGCCGACGCCAGATTGGACGATGAAGACGGCGCGGGAGGAACGCTCTTGCTGTGCGCCGCAAGCGGCGGGCGGTTGCCTTTGGTCGACATGCTACTGCGGCACGGCGCGTCCCTCGATTTGCAGAACTACATCGGCTGGACCGCACTGATGGGCGCAGCCTTTGAGGGGAGTGTCGAGGTGGTACGGCGTCTCCTCGAGTGTGGCGCGAATCCCAACAAGCAGAACACCAACGGCAACACCGCGCGGACAATTGCCCAGCAGCGCCTGAGCAGCACCCCGCCTGGCAACCGCCAACGCCGCTATGCTGAGGTCGTGCGGCTGCTATGCGAGGCTGGCAGTGTCACGCCTGCTGGTTTGGACTTGCTGGAACTTCTCGTGGCGCAGTTTCCTGAGCATTGCGTGGTCCATCGGTCTGAATGACTCAGACACGACTCCCCGTATATGGCGGCGTTCGTTTGCACTCCTCTTGCGCTGCACGCTCTTGTGTGTAGGAGAAAATGGCGCTCGCTCGAACGTATAGTCACACAGACCTTCTTTTATTTAGCTGTCATTGAGAAGAACACCGCACCTCCTTTGTGGCGCTGCGCCAGCGCTTGTCTAGTCACACCAGCTACGACCCGATCTTAGAATCACTCTCCGTGTTCAAGCGATTAAAAGAGACAAGCTGTGTACCACACCGGCGAGCGAGTCGACACGCAACACGTCCGCGCACTGGCGACTGGGAGCTGGGTGTAATAGCGTAGCGCAGCTGACTCCGAAAGCGGGTGTGCTCTGAAGAAGAAAACGGACAGAGTTTGGACCTCCTGGAACGCCCACAATCGACAGATCTTTCACAGCGGAGTCGGTCCGGATAACTGCTGCCGAGAACTGCTCGGACTGCCAAAAATTAGTACCTGACAGCGTAGGTTGGTAGGTGGACACTGAAGAAAAAGAACTTCCTCCTTCGCCACAAATCCTCCACGGATAACTGCCTGTCTGGTATAGCCCCAGCCGACTCCGCGTGAACTATCGAGGGATCTCGAGTTGCGGAGCTCCCTTGCTGCTCGGTGTACGAACTCTGTTCACAGCCTTGTTATGAGAAGAAAATACGTCCTATGGCGCTATGCGCTGGTCTGTGAGAGGTTGAGGTGCGAGCCCTGGAGGCCCTGGGAATGGGGGAGACTACCCGCGGGCCTAGAAGGCCCGCGCGCAGGGGGGTGGGGCATTGAGACCGGTCATGAATGAGTGCGCGACACGCATGTTGCGAGCAGCGTTGTTGATGTTTTGCGCGTCGCCACAGACGGCGGCGCGCGAGAGCTGTTGCGAGTGGTGCTGGACGAAGCCCCGGGCGCTGCCGGAGGCTGTGCCGTAGTCGGTGCGGTCGACGGCGCTCGGGCTGCCGAGGACCTCTTTGGCGACGTTGAAGATGATTCTCTTGGTTTGCCGCGCGATTCCGCCCTGGCTTTCCACGAGCAAATTTTGACGATTCCGTTCTTGACATGGAGCGCTTCGTTCAGAAAGAAAACAGACAAACCCAGACGAGGGATGGGGGAGCGCTTCGTTCACACCGAGCAGCTGGACTGCGCTAAATAGCAGACAGGATAACTGCCCAACGTTGGAAGACAGTTGGTGGTGACACATCGCCGCCGCCGCGAACAGCCCAGACATGACCGTGCTCAAGGCACTGACATTCAGCCTAACCATAACTGCTGCCGCGGCGAAGGGCTACTGCAACGACCGTGACAGCTCGTGCGCTAACTGGGGCAAGAACGGCGAGTGCGAGGGCGACAACGCGGACGCTGTCAAGAACCTGTGCCCGCACACTTGTGGTGTCTGCAGGTGGAGAGCGCCGCGGTGGCGGAGAGACCACTCCCATGCTCGCCGCTCGCTACACACCACTGTGTACATCGCCGCCTCCCTCCTCCTCGTCGCACCAGCGCCTCTTGCCCTCTCGGCCTCTCAAACGTCGGCGCACCGCCCACGCCGCCCGCACCGCCCGCACCCTGATTCATGGCCCCGACCCCGTCGCAGCCACGCGTGCGGCGACATGGAGTCGCACTGCGAGGCCTGGGCCAAGAGCGGCGAGTGCGAAAAGTCGCCCGATTACATGAAGAAGGCACACACGCCACCGCCCTCTCGACTGCCCTTTCCCGCCTCCCACTCGCATGCTGGCTCTCACAGCACAGCCGCCCCCCACACCTCCGCTCCCCTCGCTCGCCCCGCCCTCGCCGCCAGCCCTCCCTCACCGCCGCCCTCGCTCACCGCCCAGGAGTGCCCCACCGCCTGCGGGCTGTGCAACCCCGTGTGCTCCGACCTGCACGACGACTGCAACCACTGGTACAAGGAGGGCGCGTGCGAGACGAACCCGTGGTACATGTACCTCAACTGCGCCGTCTCGTGCGGCGTGTGCAAGCCCATGTGCAAGGACAAGGAGGGCGGCTGCCCGCCTCACGCCTCGCCTCGATACCAGCACCCGCACACAACCCCCGCACACCGCCTCACCGCTCCTCCTCTGCCGCGCCCCTCGCCGATTCCCTCGGCCACATCTCCCCCGGTCGCCCACCACACGCCTGGCTTTGGCTGCTCCCTCGGCGCGGGAGCGGACTCGGACCTCCCTCCCCCTCCAGGAGAACGACTGCCCCGGCTGGTCCTCAATGGAGGAGTGCTCCAAGAATGCAGGCCACATGCTGCTCAAGTGCCCGAACTCGTGCTCCGTCTGCGAGGCGCGTGGCGCCTCCGCGAGAGAGGAAGGGACCTCCCCGCCGTTCACGCCGCCGCATCTCGTGAGCAGGACCGCGGCCCGTGCAAGGACTTCAACACCACGTCGTGCGCCATCTGGGTGAGGGGGCTGCAAGAGTCGGGGGAAGGGGGGGAAGGGGGGGGGGGGGGTCCTCTCTTCACGGGCCGGAGCGTGGACAGGCGATGGACGACCAGTGCCTCGTCAACCCCGGCATGATGAACAAGGAGTGCCCCGTCACCTGCGGCGTGTGCTCCAACGTCTGCGAGGACAAGGAGGCGGCGTGCAAGGACTGGGCCAAGGACGGCGAGTGCGAGAAGAACGAGGCGCACATGCTGGTCACGTGCCCGTCGGCGTGCGGGCTTTGCTCGCAGCTGGAGCGCTTCTACCGGACGGGCAGCGAGGCCGCCGAGTCACACCACACCCGAGACAGCACGAGGTCACCCGACGCTTTGCCGGAGTGTAGGCATCGACGGCGGGAAGGACGAGCTATGAGCACCGCCCGCTCGTCCGCCGCCCGCCGGAGGCGCTTCGGAGGCCGAGCGCAAGGCGAGTGCGGGGACCCGCGGCTCGCAGTCTGCATATGCCGATGGTGGGTGGCGAGTTGGACGGGGCCTCTTGTGTTTAGTTTGCGGGTAAGGCGGCACCGTGTCTCTCGGGCCGTGGCGCGTGGGGGGCGGGCTGATCACCAGGCCCATATTCAATCTCTGACTCTCTCGCGTTTGGTTTCTTTGGTAGGGTGTAGGGGCGTTGCCATGACGCATGAGCGCGTATGCAACCGCATGTGCGCGCGTTATCGAGAGAGAGGATTCACCGCATTCAGCTTTCACCGGGTATATTGAATATTATGCGCTAGAGAGGACACGTCGAGATCACGAATACAGGAATACTCTCTCTCTACACACTATACTCTCTCTCTACCGTCTACGCGGCCCCCCTCATGTGCGCGGCGCATCCATCTCTCGCCCATCTCCGCACTCCGGGGCGTGTGACCGCCCTCTCGGTCTCGCCTCTCCGCTCGCCTTTCAACCAAAAGCACACACAAGAGACAAGACAGGTGACAGCGCGGGCGGAGAGGGGACGAAACGACCGGACTCACGAAACGAATTTCAGCAGAGCACCGGTCTGGCGTCTGCTCGCGCGTGCCGGCACCGGCTGTCAGTAACAGAGTGTTATTGCGACAGTTTTCACAAAGTAGCTCGCCAGCCCAACGGCTCGGCGACTCGCGCCCCTTTGGAGCGCGCAGCTACGGCTTTAGCGGCCCTTCGGGCAACTTGCGTCTTCCTCCACACCTCATCCACCCTAGGTTCGTCCGCCCACGGTCGAGAGATGAGGGCGAAGTACTATGTACTAATTTAAATCCCTGGGCGCTGGGGAAGCAACCCCCCTGACGACGGAGACACCGACGACCGAGATCGGCGACAGGGACAGCGAAGCGGTTTATTTTAGCAGCGCAGGTGTAAGAAATCAACCCAGATCAGTGTCCCAACATGAAACAAACGCGGCACTGAGCTCTTAGGGCTTGCGCCTTCAAGCTTGCACCTTGCTCTTGCGCCACGCGCGCGCTGTCACAAGTGGACGTCAGGAGTGGGAGCCCGGAAGGTAGCGGAACACACCAAGGCCTTGGGCAACCTTGGGCGTGTGGGGCGCGCGGGGAGTGCGCGTACATGCCACATGTGGCCCGATCTGTCACGCGCGGACAGCTTAGGCGCCAGGGGGAAGTGCCGACAGATGGCCAGCCCCGCCAGCCTGAGCCTCGAGCGCGCCTCGGGCCTCGCGCAATCCCGGCGCAACCGCGCGCAACCGTGATGTGTATGTTCACGCCCGCGGGCGTTCACCGCTTCACCCGCTCTGGCGCCATCCATCCCAAGTGCGTCTGAAACAGCACGCCCGCGGGCATGACCATCACGATGCTCCCCCCAACCACACGGTAGCCGCCGGTGCCGACCGAGAGAACCGGTGGCAGCAACGCCTCCTGCCTGAGCAGCTCGACTGCGTTGGCAAAGCGGAGGTCCTTCTTGAGTAGTTTCCACCGCTTCTCGAGGTACCTCTCAACGTAGCGTGGGCGAGGTTGGATCATCTGCAGCTGGCGTAGCTCGCCCGGCGTGCCCAGGCAGATTGCGAAGTCCTCAGACGTGAACATCGACTGGTCGAGTTTGCGCTCGCCAAGCTCGGCTGCGAGCACCGATAGGTCCAACGGCTCTGGCTCGTCGGCCGCGGCGGTGGGATCGCTCGGCTCGGCGAGGGAGAGCGCACTTGCTGTCTCAGTCAGCTTGTCGATGCCGGATCCCGAAGTCCGAAGCGTCTTACACACGACACGGTGCTTTGGCCAGGCAGCGCGCTGGCACGCCTTGCTGCAAAAATACGCAGCGTCGCACCCACTGCACCGGCTTGTAGTGGCCACCTGGCAGACCTCGCACACTGTTGTTTGCGCCCACCCGTACTCTGCGCCGTTGCGGTCGCGGAGCGCCCGGCCCTGTCGGGTTGAGCTGCCTGAATCACCCATAAAGAGCACGAAGCCGCTGTCGAGGTCGGCCGGGACTCGCGTCGAGCGCGTGAGGGCGCAGTGCATGTCGAGAGCGAGAGAGTGCAGCCGTCCCGCGTGGTAGTACGATGACGGATCCGACTCGGTGGGCGCGTGCCACGTCCCGCGAGGTGGCCCCACCGTCGCAAAATCTGCGGCGTCGAGCATGATGCGGATGGCATTGGCAGCAAAGCGCTCGACGAGCGACTGCGAGTAGACGGTAAATTGGCTGGGAAATGCTGCCTCAAAGTCGGCTTTGCGGGTGCTGGGATAAACCCGCTCGAGGAACGGCGTCACCTCTGCCTCGCGCTGGAGCCAGTCAACAATCGTCTGATGCAGTCGCTCGGCGCACTGCATAAAGAGCGCACGGGCTTGTGGGTCTGCAAACGTTTGTCGAATGTCTTGGTAGCCCCGCAGAAACGCGCGCCAGTCGGACACTTGAGCCGCGCTCATAGCTTCTGTCGATGGCAGACGATGGCGGTCCCTCACCTCGTCAAGGGAAAAATAAGGGAAGCGTGCGAAGAGGCCACCGGCCAAAAGCGCATGTCTTGAAGGTCCGATACTGGAAGCCCATATAGGCACCTTACACTCCCCCGCAGTATCGCACCTCTTGAGCGACACTACGTTTCCGCAGCTGGGGATTCTCCGGGTACCCCTCTTTGTACCCGTGCTGGCCGGATTCCTCCTCCGAACAACTCAAGTTCGATCGGCCCCAGTCTCTAACTGGCAGCCACTATCTCACCGGAGGTACCATGTCCGAGGAGGCCACCGGCCAAAAGCGCATGTCTTGAAGGTCCGATACTGGAAGCCCATATAGGCACCTTACAGGAACCCATTTTACTTTATGGCCCCTTCCGCGCGAACGCGCACCCCCCCCAAGGGCCAGGGCTCTCTAGCCCGCAGCCCGATGCCGATCACCCGGGACCCGGCCAGCTGGGTGCGCTTCTTTCTTATAGCTCCGGGACCTGGCCCTGGGTGGGTGTGAGGTTGATTGATGAAGACTGCACTTCAAGTGCTCCAAGTGCACGGAGCCTCAGCTGAGCTGGGAATAGGACCGCCGCAAGAGATGTGATGGAGAGGGGGGACGACACTGCTTCAGCAGCGTGCACCTCGATGGACGATGCTGTCCGTGTCAAGCCGCGTGGCGTGGAACGGTTGAGCATCCCTCCGGGGGCCTTCTGCGCCGGGGAGGCGTTGTTGGAGGCTAGGACGCAAGCGCCCGTCGCCCATTGTTAAATTCGGGGCCCACACTCCGCTGCGCTCCGACCCCCGAGAATTTGGAGGGCCTAAAAGTTTAAGGTCTGTTGCCCTCACCTCGCTTGCGTGAAGAAAATAAGTCTGGCACTCTAACGTCACCGGCAGGCCCGGCGTCTTCATGTCGGTGATGGCGACGGCGTGGGGGAGCTGCTCGGCAACGGCGCTGAACATGGCGAGCCACGTGCTGCCGGACGGTGCCGAGACACCGAACTGCTCGGCGAGGCTAGTGAGGCCGCTGCAGCTGGCGCCGGGCACCGCCGGTGCGGAGGGGGAGGGCGCAGCTGGCGCGGGTGGCGGCGGCGCTGCCGGGGGTGATACTGCTGGCTGCTGAACGGGCAGGGGCGGGGAGGTGGCCATCGCACTCGGAGGCTGCTGTGGCGACGGCTCCGGCGTTTGGTGCGCTTGCCTGGCTGCCTGCTCGGCCTGAAGTTCAACCGCAGCCTGTCTTGCTTGGATCTCTGCCTGTTGCCGCTGCAACTGCTCCGCTTGTGCCTGTGCAGCCTGCTCCGCCGCCTTGGCCCGCATCTCCATCTCTTGCTGTTTGACGCGAGCTTCAGCCTCCATCTGCATGCGCTGCTGCTGCAGTTCCATCTCCATGCGCTGTTTCTGAAGCGCAACCTCCATCTCTCGCTTCTCCTGCTCGAGCCGCTGCTGAGCAGGCCCGTCTTGCGCCGCTTGACTCGCTTGCATCTCCACCTGCTGCCGCCGCAGCTGCTCAACTTGCGCCTGCGCAGCCAGCTCCGCCTGCTGCGCGCGGATCTCAATCTCGCTTTGCTTGGCGCGAACCTCCACCTCCATCTTCATACGCTGCTGCTGAAGCTCGGCCTCTAAAGCCTGCGCCTTCATCTCAATCTCCTGCTGCTTGGCACGCGCCTCCGCCTCCATCTGAACTCGCTGCTTTTGGAGCTCGGCTTCCATCACGCGCTTCTCCTGCTCCATCCGCTGCTGCGCCGCTTGGAGCTCCTGCATATGCATCTGCATCTGCATCTGCATCTGCTGGCTCTGCGTCTCGAACTCCATTTTCTGCTGCATCACTGCTTGGCCGTGTAGCAGGTCCTTGCTGCTCGCCTCGGCGCGAAGCCTATCCAGCTCTCCGCGGAGGCGAAGCTTTTCCTCATCCTTGACCGCGGAGCCCGTCTTCATGGCTTCCGTCAGCTGCGTTCGAAGGGATGCGATCTCTTCCTTGATGCCCACGGCCTGAGGGCTGTCGGCATTTGTTGCAGACTCACGGGCAAGGTCGGCCTGGAGCGACGTGATCAGGTCTCGCAGCGCGCTCACGTCCGTGCTGGTCTCGGGAATCGGCTGCGCCGTCTTCTGCGGGAGCGAGAGGGCGGGGGCTCTCTCATGGCTGCGCGCATCGAGGTGGACCGTTCCTCCTCCCTCGCACCTCAACGAGCGAACGTAGCTCCTTAAGTTCGCGTTGCATGCCGTCAAGCGACTCGTCCTCTTCGGGCCCACGCCGCTTCGCCCTTGATGGGCTCGAGTTTGAATGCTCCGCCCGCGCCGCCACTGACCGTGGGCTTGAGTTGCGGGGAGGGAGCTCATCCCGCTCGTCGCCGTCGCTCGAGGCTGGAGCCGACCGATCGGCAGTCTCGAGCTGCTCTGATGGCGATGGCCACGTATTGCGCCCCCTTCTTGATCTCAAAGGTGACGAGTGGTGCTCGCGGAGCCTGGCCTCCTCGACCTGAGGCGCAGAGCAAGTGAGCAGATGAGACGCAGTCGAGCAGCGAGGGCAAGAGACAGATGCTGTCCGCAGCAGCTGCGCGGGTGGAGAGTAGCACCTCCTCTGGAGCACCCGGCGCTCGCGCGTCGCGGCCGGCCTTTGTCGGGGAAGTTCGCGGCGAGCCCGCCTGCTCCATGAACATTTGCTGCCAGCGCTCGGTGATGCTGGTCTGATGCTTGAGCACACTGATCAGCGCTTCGATCGGCTCCGCCGCATCGCCGAACGCGTCCATGCCCAGCAGCGCGTCCCTCACGCGCTCGGGCGACGTGGCGCTGCCCGGAGGATGCATCACGTCATCAGGTGAGTAGGCGGATGCGCCGCCGGGAAAGTACGACATGCTCGCACGGCGGACGAGATCGTCCACCGAGCCGCGAGCCGACGCTGCGCGGCTCATCGTGCGAGCCACCTCCCTCTTGTGCTCCTCCATCGCAGGAAGGTTTGGAGGCGGCCGAGGCTGCCGCGGCGAGTTGAGCGCACGCATGTAGGCAGAGTAGCCGACTGGCCAGCGGTGCTTCTCAAGCAGCCGGAACAACGCCCAGCGCTGCTCGCACGGGTTCCTCCCGCCGAGCTCCCACATTTTGAAGCCGTGGTCTGCGCAGAACCGGTTGATGGTGCCGATTGGAGTGTTCTCTGAGAGCGGCGTGCGTGGCGTGAGCCAGAACTCCTTTGGGAACCCGGTGATCCGCGATCCACTGGCCGTGACCGCCCTGCCTTGGCTGGGAAGGCGCGGCAGCCGCGGTGAGCCAGGAGGCGTCTCCCACGCTTGCATGGCCGTCAAAGACGTTTCAAGCGCCGGGGGACGGGGCGGCGATCGGCCGGTTCATACTTGTAACTGCCCGAGTTCCGGAAGAGGAAGGGTTTTAGGTTCGTTGTATAAGGGTGAAAGAGAACACACGCTCGACTCGGCAAAGAGCTGAAAAAAATTCACGCGAGATGTCGAGAAATGCGGCGTCGCCTGCTCGTAGCTCGACCAACAACCGACGCACTGCACAAACCGACGCACTGCACAAACCGACGCACTGCACAAACCGACGCACTGCACAAACCGACGCACTGCACAAACCGACGCACTGCAGCAGGCCGCGCCGGATTTCAGGCGACGCACTGCACAAACCGCGCCGCGAACACGATATTGCAAAGTCGACCAGCATAGGATGGCCAGCTGTCCACTCTCCTATCGCCTGGGCGCGCGGGCGCTGCGAGCGGCGCAGACCGTGCAATGCCAGACGCTCTACGCCGTCGGCGGGCTCTATGGCAACATGCACGCGCTCTCAGCGATCCGAGAGCGCGCAGCACAGGAGCTAACGCCGCCGACGCTAATCTTCAACGGCGACTTCAACTTCTTCAACTGCGAGCCCTCGTGGTGGCACGATCTCAACCGCGATATTATGCGCAGCCCGCGCCACATCGCCACCGCCGGGAACGTGGAGGTCGAGTCGTCTGCCATCGCGCCGTCTGGCTTGGGCTGCGGCTGTGGATATCCAGCGTACGTGTCCACCGGCGTGGTCGAGCGATCCGATCGCATCGTCGCGGCGCTGCGGGCCGCCGCCGCCGCCGCCGCAGCCCCGGAGCTGCTGGGCTGGCTCCGCGCGCTGCCCTTGGCGCTGGTCGCAGAGGTCGGTGGCAGGCGCGTCGGCATCGTCCACGGCGACGTGGAGAGCCTGGCCGGCTGGGGGCTGGGCGTCGAGGCCATGTCGCCGCCCGATGAGCCGCTGCGCGCTGCGCTCGGCTGCGGCGACCCCGCCTCGCAGCAGTACCTGCCGCCCACGCCACGCGAGACGGCGCTCGGCTGGATGGAGGAGGCCGAGGTGGTCGGGCTCGTCTGCACGCACACCTGCCTGCCGCACGGCCAGGCCTACCGCGACAGCCGGGGCGGCGCCGCCGAATGGGGACGCGCCGTCTTCAACAATGGCAGCGCTGGGATGCCCAACTTCGAGGGGCAGCGCTTCGGCCTGATCACGCGGGTGAGCGCCGACCTACACGCCGTGCCGCCCGACTCGCTCTACGGCGTCGCCGCCGGCGGGCTGCGCTTTGATGCGCTGCCTGTGCACTACGACCACGACGGCTGGATGGCCCAATTCGAGGCGGTCTGGCCAGCGGGCTCCGACGCGCACGCCTCGTACCACGCGCGGCTGCTCCGCGGGCCGGGCGGCTTCACGCGGAGGCACGCGGCGAGAGAGGGCGTGTCTTGAGCCGCCGCTTGTTATATCATACATAACGACCTATGTGGGAATAGCCGCCATGATGAAGTCCAAGTCGCAACCGTAGATGGGTGAGTCTCGTCTTCTCCGATCGCCATTTTCTTTTCTTTTAGCCAGAGCAACGCGTGATGAGGAAGGATGAGAGAGATGTCGAGAGGGCAGAAAGCCGTGAAAGAATTGGGTCTTGGCACAAAGAAGGATTACGTAGCTGTATCTACCGTCACAACTCAGCTGCTCCCTTGTACTTCTTACCTGTGAAGCTGTCTCTGCGCGATTTCGGCCGGGGTTGTGCGTTTATGTGAAACCCATCCCCAGGGCCTCCAGGGCTCGCACCTCAACCTCTCACAGACCAGCGCACAGCGCCATAGGACGTATTTTCTTCTCAATAACAAGGCTGTGAACAGCGTCACGAGTTCGACCCTCGTCTGTCAAACCACCCACTCCGTTGTCCTCCAACACGATGGGGGGCACGAGCAACCCCAGCGAGGAACAGCTCGCCCTCGTGACGGCTCGCGTCATCGAAATCGCCTCGGCGATCAGCGAGACGGCCGCCTCACTCGACGGGAGCGGCTACTTTGAAGACAGCGGGTTTGACGACGAGGAGCGCGGAGCGGCTCTGTCCGCGAGGCTCTTGGAATACAGTAACGCCGAGGAGCTCGACCCGAACATCGACGACCACCCGCAGCCGCGACGCATGGCCCATGGCGCGCTACCTCCTCGAAAATGTCGAATTTGAGGTCCTCCAGGCGCCGCTCCCGAGCGCCCTCCTCACTATACCGAAGGAGGTGGCTGACGCAAGCGAGGGAGCTGGCCTCTCAAAGGGCGTCAAATTCGGCGCGACGCTCGCCTTCGTCGCGATGCTCTTTGTTTTGGCGCTGTACAGAGATGCCGCTGCCTCCGTCTCGGCGAGCCTCAGTACATCCGCTTCGAGCTCGGGAGCGATGACGCGCGCGCGGCCTTCACATCTCCACCCAGAACACCACAGCGGCACGCCCGCCACGGGAGGTGCCGCGGGCGGGGGCGTCAGCAGCGGCTTGGGCCACGGCGTTGGAGGCGGGAGGACCACCGGTGCAAGACCGCCAAGGGCGGGAGCAGGCGCAACGGGACCAAGCTGACGCGGTGAGGGCAGGCACTTGCCACTCATGTGCTAGATCAAGATGCCGCGACACCGCGGCGACACCCACCTCACGCGTCCAGGCACTCGGCTCCCGGGGTCGCGGCGGACGCGTGTTAGACACCGCGGCGCGATGGACCAGCGTGCGGCGTCCGGCGAGACGTTGGCGCGAGAGAGAGAATCAGAGCTAACGAGAGAGGGGGAGGTGAGTACGATTAACTTCACACAATAGCCGTAACAAAAACAACTAAACTGTAAACTAAAAACTCTTGCACACATCACACACATGCGACATGCCTCTGTACCTCCACTGGCCACTGGCACTGGCCTGTGGCCATGTTGCCCGTGCCCCCCTCGCCCGACGCCCCTGCGCCTGCCCCCTCTCTCATGCCACATGCGACTCAAACGTGGTGCTAGTCCCCCGTCGGGAGGACGACCGGGACTCGAGCGATCATTCCAGCCGGCTGCAAGCACCCACGGCTCTAGGACCCATCTAATTTGCGCTTGTTCGCACGCCTCGCCTTGCGCCTCTCCTTTCGCCGGTCCTTCCTGCCCGCCTCCTTGTCGGCGGGCCCCGCCTCGGCCGTCCCCAGGGTTGTCGCGGGTGTCACAAGCACGGGCTCGCGCGAGGCCGCGAGAACCGACTCTTCCGCCTCCGCCTCCGCCTCCGCCTCCGCCTCCGCCTCCGCCTCCGCCTCCGCCGCCTGTGCGAGCTCTGTCGCCGCCAACTCCGCAGCCGCCCTCGCTGCCTCCGCCTCGGCGGCCGCCTCCGCAACCTCGGCGAGCCTGCCCATCCGCGCCGCCTCCGCCGCCTCTCCGGCGACAGCCGCCGCCTCTGCCGCCTCGCGCGCCGCCTAAAGGACACGCCCGCGACAAGTGCACGAAGTGGCGTGACTGCGGCCCCTCGCAGCCCCTCTCGCCACCTCCGCCGCAGCGCGAGCGCCCTCCTCCTCCTCGCGCCTGGCCGCCTCCTCCGCCCGCCGCACCGCCTCGGCAACCTTCGTGCGAGCGACCGCCGCCGCCGCCTCCGCCTCCGCCGCCTCCGCCGCCACCGCCACCGCCTCCGCCGCCGCCTCCTTCTCCTCCGCCTGCGCCGCCGCATCCGCCTTCCTCCCTGCGATCCTCCTCGCCGCCCGCTCGACCACCGCCGAGAGCTCGCCCTCACTCGCCTCAACCTCGCTCTCCCTCTCCTCCTCCTCGGCCGCGCCCTGCCCGTCTCCAGGCCCTGCTAGCGACCTCACCCCCGCCACGGCCACGCCTCCCACTGTCACCGCCAGAGCTGCGCCCAGCGCAGGGCTGCCCAACGCAGGGCGCAGCGCCTCCACGACCGCGCCCTCGCTGCCCGCGCCCTCCTCTGGCTGCGACCGCCGCCCCTGCTCCAGCCGCCGCTCCTCTGTCACCTTCCCGTCCACCCAGGCGGTGAAGTCGTCGATGCCATCGGCGGCCGCGCGAGGCGCCTGCGGGCAGAGAGCGAGTGGGCGCCGAGGCGCGAGATGGGCGTTGCAGGGAGGGGGCGGGGCAAGGTCTCTCGGAAGTGTCTCGGAGGTGCCCCGCGCCTCGGCCGGCGTCGGCGACCCCTCCGGCAGGGGCGAGGCCTGCCTTGTGACGGATGCTGGCGCCTCGGCTGGGGCTGGGGGGAGGTCCCGAGGAGGGAGCTCAAGAGGCTCCAGCGCCGGGGCAGCGCCCCCCTCCGAGCTGTCCGCGCCAAGGCTACGCCGCAGCGCCTCGGAGAGCGCCTGTTGCTTCTCCGCCAGCTTGTCCAGCTTCTCCGCAGTCTCGCGCTGCTCCACGCCACGCACGCCCTCCCCAACCCACGAGGAGAGTGGCAGCGATGAGAGGTCTGGGAGCGTCGGGCCTCCTCCGCCGGCCGAGAACAGGACGGCCGCGGCGAGAGCGAGCGGCACGAGTCCAGCGGCGAGGGCCGACGGCGCTGCGGGCGGCGCCGCTGGCGTCTGCGCCGGCTGCGGCGTCGAGGATGGCGGCGGGGAGGCGGACGTTGCCGCCTGCCGCTGGCCAGGAGCCGGGGCGGTGTCGGCGTCGGCCAGAGCATCGAGGCGAGCCTCGAGGTCGGAGATCTTTCGGAGCTGCACCTCCGCGCCCAGCTTTTCGACGCCCCCTCCCACCGACCGCACCCATCCTGGCACCTCCCCCTCCTCCGCCGCGCCGCGCGAGCCGCGCATCGCGACGCGGAGCCGCTCTGCAAAGCTGCTGGGCGGCGGTGGCGGGAGTTCAGCATCATTGTCAGCCTCGGCCTCCGCATCGATGACCGGCCCCTCCAACGTCGCGGCGGGCCGCACCGCCTTGACCACGCCGTCGCCAAGGACCGCAGCCCACGCCTGGATGCTGAGACCGACCTCTCGCGCCTCTCCTGAGGCGACGAAATTTTGGAGCCGGTCCCGAGCGGCCGCCGCACCGCTGGCGGCGGCCTCGCTGGCACCTTGTGTCAGCTCCTCCGCGGCACGAGCGCGCTGGACGCTGGCGAGCTCCTCCTCAGCCGCGCGGACCCTGGCCTGTGCAGCCTCCAACTTCGCCTTAGCCAGGCGCTGCGCAGCCTCGACAGGCGCTCGTGAGCCGCGCGGCGAGAGATTTGGAAGGAGGCGCTTCCCCGCGTGCGCTGGCGCGAGGAGGAGGCACAGCGCGATGAGATTGCGGCAGGAGTTGCGGCGGCGACAGCGGCGGCACGAGATCGGAAGCATATATACATTGGGATGAATGTGATTGCGAAAAAAAAACTCCGGCGGCGCTGTCCCATCTCCTCATCTCTTTCCCGCCTGGGCGGCCGGTGGGCGGGGCAGCGGGTGGGCGCGCGGTGCGGCGTGGCGTGTGAGTGTGTGCGACTGCTACGACGGACCGCTCAAGGGACCATTGGGTTTGTACTATTAACAACGAAAGGCGCTCTCAAAAAAAAAACACCCGGGCCATATGCCTGCTCTATTTATTTATTTATGAGGATCCCTAGTCGTGCATGAATATTCTCGACGCCACGTCGCGCACGATCCAGTCGACGCCGTGCGCGAGGCCGCTGCCCGTGTAGGCGGAGCAGGCTCCGATCCGCCAGTGGCGCGTGGTGACGCCGTCGAGCTCGAGCGCCTCGCGGATCTCCTCGGGCGAGAGGGCGCCCTCGATGTCCTGCTTGTTCGCAAAGACGAGCAGCGACGCGCCGGCGAGGCGCTCCTGCTGCAGCAGCATGCGCAGCTCCGCGCGGCAGTCCTCGAGGCGCGCCCGGTCCGACGAGTCGACCACCCAGATGAGGCCTGCCGCGGCGAGGCAGGGGGCGTGGCGAAGCAGAGAGGGGGCAGAAACGGGAGAGGCCGGACAGGACATAGAGAGTGAGAGGGGAGCACGGCGAGGCTCGAGAGGAGCAGGGCGAGCACCGTCGGTCTCCTCAAAGTAGTTGCGCCAGTACGAGCGCAGCGACGTCTGTCCGCCCACGTCCCAGATGTTGAGGCGGAATCCCCGGTACCTGAGCGTCCGTCCGGGCCGCTCTTAGCGCCCGACCATAGCAAGGACAACCACATAGCTGCTTTCCACCGCCGCCACCACCACCGACGCCGCCGCGCCGCCGCCGCCGCCGACGATGCGCTCAGCTACGGGCCGCTCGGGGCGGCGCACTCGAGCGTCTTGATGTTGAAGCCGAGCGTCGGAGCGATCGTGTCGACGTCCTCGCCGTTGAACTTTTTGACGATCGTGGTCTTGCCCGCATTGTCCAGCCCGAGCATCAGCAGCCGCATCTCCTTCTCCTTCTCCTTTTGCTTCTTGAGGATGGTGAGGAGCCCCATGCCGCGGGCACCGGCGGCGGGCGGTTTCCGATCTGCGGCGGCAAGGGTAGCGGCGCCCCGGCGCGAACAACGCCTGGGGGCAACGCCCAACGGTGACCCACGAAAGAAGAATTTTATGGGAAGAAGAATTAACCCGGGGGGAACGAAAAACGGGTTGCCCGGAAGGGCGATATCACGGCGGCCTAACTGTGCCTCCGTGCGCTCGCCACATACCCCCTGCTGCCCGAGGGTCGTGTGAGCTCTTTATTGGGCACATACAGAGGCGGCCGTGGGAAGCCACCACGATCCACGTTCCCTTCAAATTTCCCGCCACCGAGCTCCGGAGCGCGCTCTGCACGAGCTCCTGGGACGCGGTTTCGTCTTTCGATCCCAGATGGTCGTCGCACGTCGGCGCCCCAATGAGGTCCGCCGTCATAGGTGTAGCACGCCACTAGACACACTGCCTCCAAGTTGAGCGGTGGAAAATTGTGACGAAGCCACGCACCGAGGCGCCGGCGTTCCTCTGGCAATCTGCCACCGACAGCAACACGCCTTTGATCACCGGCAGCGCTTGCGCTCCGCATACTCTCCAGAAGCTGTTGGTTGTGTGGCTGGTGCCACATGTTCATGTACATGTACATGTAGCTTAGGTCGCGGTGTGCCGTCTTTTTCGCGTGCCGGAGGTGGTAAAACCAATACACCGCCACGTCAGTACAGCTACAGCTCAGGTCCGAATTCACACGACGCTTTTGTTCAAATTCGAGCGTCGACCTTGCGCGTGCCGCCGGCCGCGCCGGCACTAGAGATGTCGTCCGCTTCCCGCAGCAGAGAAATCGAACCAGACCGGGGGAAAGGCGGCGGGTGGCGCCAGCACGCCCCCCAGCCCTTGCGGGGGCGGCGACCCGAGCGGCACCAGCCTGCACACACCCATCAGCTCCTTCTCGAGCAGGCGGTTGAAAGGTGCAAAGAATTCGCGCAGCTGCGCCAACGTCGCGGAAAACACCGCAGCCGATTCTCCCTGCTCGCTGGCATTCCGCACGCTCTGTGAAAGCGTCAACTGATTCGAGGCCGTTTGCGCGATCTTCGACAGGCGTGCGAACGGTGGCGTACTCAGCCCAAGGAACCCCGCAGTGGTTTTCAAGAACCCCGCAGTGTGCTTCGTAGATGCCGATTAGAAAGGCGCCACAGCCGCCAAACGCTCGCAACCACTCTCGCAGCTGGTAGGCATAGAGCGAGTCGATCGCCTATTTCTTGGCGATTCGATTCGGGGGTTGCATGCAGAGCAACAGGGCATGCTACGGGCATGCTACGGGTCGATACTGCCACGGGGCGGACTGCTACGGGCATGCTACGGGGCGGACTGGTGGGCTGCGTGTAGGCAGAGCAGGCACACCGCGCCCCTGGAAGAGTATGACATATTGAGGAAGCTCTCCTCGGAAGCAAGGGCTGGTACGGCCTTCGGCTCGGCGCACAACCTCTTCCCCGATCCAACATGTGGAGGGCGAAGCCACAACCAGCTGCCCAGCGCTACGTCCTCGCCGGCCATGATCTCCCGCACGCGAGCCATGCTGCGGTGGGCAACCTCGCGGAACGCCATGGCCATAGGTAGACCGACCAGCGGCTTCCAGCCACGCGGTCTCCACCAATGCCGCTGCTGCTCGAAATAGCGAAAGTGAGACGCCGCGCGAGCCGCCGGCTCGCGCAGCACGAAGATTACACGGGGGACGGGTGCACCGCCACAGGCGTGGATGCTGCGAGGAGCCCACGCATCCTCTCCCATGTAGGAGGGCCACTTGATGCCGATGCTTTTGCCCCCGCGGCACGCTTCGGCACTGTGAAGGCGGTGGCGATCGACAACCGCCGAGGCCACCATTCGCTGCACCTTCGCGGAGCCACCCGCAGCCGCCGAGGCCACCATTCGCTGCAACTTTGCGCAATGGCTGTGGAGCCACGCCGGGCTGCCCGCAGCTCCTGAGGCGTCCAGGTCAATGCAGCTCTCGTTGAGGGCAAGCGCCCAGGTGAAGGAGAACGCCGCCTCGCGAGGATCGACGGCGGCGCTGGGAAGCCGGTTCAGCCAGCTTGCGAGGCTGGAAGTGCCGGATTTTTGCGCCCCGGCGATGTAAAAGGCCGGCGGGCATAGGTGCGGCGGTGACGCGCAGCTGCAGTTGTATTCTCGTGCTCCTGGCGGATATCCGCAGGGGATGAGAGGCCCACCCGTTTGGCATCGAAAGAAGCCGCGACACCCGGACACCCAGAGCTCGTCCTTGCGGCATCCATAGCTGATGCCAAGCTGGCACTGTGCGGTGCTCGTCTGCTGAACCAGCTCGCACTCAGAGGCTGCTTTAGGGTGCGAGACTGCAGTTCGTTGTCCACGCATGCCCTTGAGCCCGTCGTGCATCCAAACAAGAAGCCACAAAAAACAAATGCATGCGAGGCCACCAAGCGAGAGCGAGAGAGAGAAGAGGGGCGAGATCCTGGGGGGTTGGCTGCCACGAAGAAAACAGGACCAAAGCAGTCATCATGTCATCGCACCACCACGGGTGCATATAGGGCCGGTACGTCTACATAGCAGCACGGCCCACGTCTCACGCGACGAAAACGCTCGGTCAAAAAGAATTTAGTCTTCCGACGACCGATCGAAAGGAAAAAACAGTTCCCCCGGTCAGGCAAGACCCTGTGGGGTTGGGCTGCCACGATGCCACGAACACAAACACAACTCTGTCCTCATCGCGCCACCACCTTTGGCAGCACAAAGCCGCGCCCTCACCGGACGCCCGCTCGCGCCGCCCGCGGACCCCTCTCCCGCCAAACCCGCCCCTCTCCTAGCCCCTCCCAGTGTCCCAGAAGCCGCCACACAGGCCTCGCCTCGCCTCGCACCAGCCCCCCAAAAGTAGGGGGGCGATTTCTGGGGCTCCCAGGCCATTCCGTATCGATTTCGGATTTTTTTTCCGGCGGATTTCTCCCATTTTCTTTCTTTTTTGCCCACACAGCCGGCCGGGCTCTCCTGCTCAGCGCGCTGTCTCTCAGATGTCCGCCAGCTCTGGAGCCGCTCCCTCGCGGCTGTCGAAGCGCTCCTCGTCCCAAGCGATCAGGTAGCCCAGCCGCATCACCTCGACCGCCCGCTTGCGAGCCGCTGTCGGGAAGAGCTCGTGCGACTGCGGCGACCACTCCGCCGCCTTGAGGATGAGCCTGCCCACCTCCACCGCCTCGGCCGCTGGCTGCAGGTTGGCCGGCCTGAGGGAGGGCAGGGTGTGTTAAAGAGAGGATCCGGCGAGTCGGGGAGAGACCATTTCAGTGCGCGCCTCAGTGCGAGTGCCTTGGCCTCGCCCGCCACGCGCACGCCGAAGCGGGCCGTCGAAGCGTTGGCGGAGACGACGACGCCGATCTTGCCGTTCATCGAGGGCCGCGAGACGAGAGAGCGGATCTCGACTGTGGAACCGACTCCCGCAACAGTCGGATCCGACTCGCTCCACGAGCAGAGGACGCGCGCCCGCTCGAGGGCAGAAGGCGCGCCGGCGAGCGGGTCGGCGCCGCCGCGCAGCAGCGCCCGCGCCCGCTCGACGGTGAGCGCCTGCGGAAGAGGGACAATGGGCGTGAGGACAGCGCGCTCACGCCTTCGGCCGCTAGTCTCGGGCACGCCTCGAGATGCTGGAGCGGCGTCCAGCCGCGGCTGGCGACCAGCCAGGCGGCGAGGTCGGCGTGGCCTTCTTCGGTTGCAACCTCCTCGGGCGTGCCGAAGGGCGTAGCGGCGCGGGAGGCGCCGTAGGAGGAGAGGAGCTTGGCGATCTCGAGGTGGCCGTCCTGGCACGCCGCGTACAGCGGCGTGACGCCGTTCTGCCGGGCTTGGTTGACCGCCGCGCCAGCCTCGAGGAGCAGCCGGGCGCTCTCGAGCTGGCCCTCCTGGCACGCCATGAACAGCGGCGTGCAACCATCGTTCATCGCTTGGTCGGTCGCCGCGCCAACCTCGAGGAGCAGCTGGGCGATCTCGAGGTGGCCCTCCTGGCACGCGATGAACAGCGGCGTGGTGCCTTGCTCATCGGCCTGGTCGATCGCCGCGCCGGCCTCGAGAAGCAGCCGGGCGATCTCGAGGTGGCCGTTGAAGCATGCCATGATCAGCGGCGTGGCGCCGTTCTGCTTGGCTTGGTTGATCGCCGCGCTGGCCTCGAGGAGCAGCCGGACGCACTCGAGGTGGCCCTCCTGGCACGCCATGAACAGCGGCGTGGTGCCGTCCTTTTCGGCCTGGTCGATCGCTGCGCCGGCCTCGAGGAGCAGCCGGGCGATCTCGGGGTAGCCCTTCTGGCTCGCCATGAACAGCGGCGTGACGCCGTTCTGCTTGGCTTGGTTGACGGCCGCGCCAGCGTCGCGCAGCAGCCGGGCGATCTCGAGGTGGCCGTTGAAGCATGCCATGAACAGCGGCGTGGCGCCATCCTGCTCGGCTTGGTTGACCGCTGCGCTCGCCTCGAGAAGCAGCCGGGCGATCTCCGGGTGGCCGTTCTGGCACGCCATGTACAGCGGCGTGATGCCTTGCTCATCGGCCTGGTCGACTGAAGCGCTGGCCTCGAGAAGCAGCTGGGCGCACTCGAGGTGGCCGTTCTCGCACGTGACGAGCAGCGGCGTGGCGCCGTCGGCCCTCGCTTGGTTGATGTCAGCGCCAGCGTCGCGCAGCAGCTTGGCGCACTCGAGGTGGCCGTGCTGGCACGCAATGTACAGCGGCGTGACGCCGTCCTTGTCGGCCTGGCCGACTGAAGCGCTGGCCCCGAGAAGCAGCTGGGCGCACTCGAAATGCTCCTCCTGGCACGCAACGTACAGCGGCGTGAAGCCTTCAGCGTCTGCTTGGTTGACCGCCGCGCCTGCCTCGAGGAGCAGCCGGACGCATTCGATCTCGCCGTTGAAGCTCGCAGCGCTCAGCGGCGTGGTGCCGTCGTCCGTGGGCTGCTCTATCGCCGCGCCCGCCTCGAGAAGCAGCTGGGCGCACTCGAGCTGCCCCGTCTCGCACGCGATGAACAGCGGCGTGACGCCGCCGTCAGCAGCTCGGTTGACCGCTGCGCTCGCCTCGAGGAGCAGCCTGGCGCAGTCGACGTGCCCCCCCTCGCTCGCGAGGAGGAGCGCGGTGGCGCCGCCGCTGTCAGCCGCCCCGACGCTCGCGCCGCCCTCGATCAGCAGCCGCACCGCCTCGGCCTGCCCGTGCCGAGCGGCCCAGGTGAGCAGCGTGTCCTGCTTCTCGGTGTCGTGCCGCGCGTCGAGCTGGGCCGCGAGCGACGTGCCGTGCGTCCCCTCCCCGGAGAGGAAGGCGCGCAGCGAGGCCAGGTCGCCCCGAGCCAGGTCGGCGAGCTGGGCTGGGAGGATGGCGCCGCTCATGCTGAAATGAGCGAAAGTCGCGCAATTTCTTTTTACTTATGCAGCGCTTGTCTGTCGTTCTCCACACCGCCGTGGCGTGGCAGACGGTGAACGAGCTAGCGTGCGGGAACAGCGGCATTGTGCACGGTGCTAAGTGCATTGCCGTTCTTAACGGAGTCGCTTAGGCGGCTCCGGTGGTGTGCCGGTGATAGTACTAGCACGCGCCAGTTCGCACCTGTGTCGAGCCTGTGTGCTGTGAGAGAGAGTTCTTTTGTTTAAATTCTTTTTACTGTATGCCATGCGCGCGGACCACGCTTGCGTGGATACGTGGCTGGCAGGCTGACCCGTGTGCGGGGTAACCCGCGCACGGGGAAGCTTCACGGGTTCGAGTCGTCAAACATTAAGCAGCGGAGGTGTGCCGAGGGGGGCCGGGAGGCGGGAAGCCGTCGTCGCCCGGCGCTCGCTGCTTGCAGCACCAATGGCGATGGCGCTAAGAGGTTCCTCTTTTCCGCCCCCCCCCCCCCCCCCCCCGCAAGGCGCGCGACACACACACATTTTTCCTCGAGTCTCGTGAAGATTTGGACCTTTGCGTCTTGGGTCCGGTTGTGTTTTTGTGTTGCCTTTTCTACTGGGCTGGGTTTTTAGGCATTGTGGGGTTGGCACTCCCATCGACCCTCATGACCTCCTGCGGTCTCTGAGATGGACACCAGTGGGTGTGGGACCACAGCCAGGATACATTCGAAGGCTGGGTAAGCAGTAGAGGTCGATACTCGACGCGTCCCACATGGTCTGTGTCGCTGTCGGCACGCTGTCGACAGGCGGACGTCGAGCGACACCGGTGGCAGTGCCACCCAGGAGTGGTCGGGCGGTCTCCCGTCATGAAAGAGCCACCATGTGATCCGTATGATGATTCCTGACAACCGCCTCAGTCAACTTTTGTCACAGTTCCCGCTCTGAGAGGAGCTGCGGGTCAGTTCGACAGCTGGAGCTGTGTCGCCGGCGTGCGGCGGCCTGCCTCCGGAGGTGCCTCTGAGGTGGACATCTTTTGGTCACCGTGAGAGAACGCGTTCGAATTTTCACTCCGGAACTTCAACTCTGCACGCGCACCGGCCAGGGCTACAATAGTGCCAGTGAGGCGGAGGCGCGAGTCGGAAGGCCGCGACCGTCAAGGTTCCCCCAATTTTCCTACAATCGCTGTGAACCCAGCCACGTAATCCGGCGAACACGCTTCTATCAGCCTTCCTCATGCACAATGTTGCCGTTGAGCTACGAGGCTGCAACCCGTCGTCATTTGAGTTTGCTGCCAGCCACACACAGCGCGTTCCTGCTGCACGAATGGTTGGACAGGTGTGAACAACACCTCGTGGGGGCGGCACCGCAGGCGTCCATTGAGGGGTCCAGGTGATAGGAGATAGCCCTGGGCGGACAATCCATACGCCTAGTTGGACTTCAGATCGCCCGATCGCGTCCCGGTGAACTGACGTCGGATTTGTGACGCCGCCGCACCGCGCCGCGGCCGGGCAGGGGCCCTCTGGAGGCTGAGGATGGCCGTGGCGGACCTAGACGAGCTCTGGGAGGTAAAGTGTCAGTGTGATCTGTGATCTGTGAGGGTCCGCCCGCAGGCGCATTTTGTATACCGAGGCGGTGCCCGGTGCCGAGCGCAGGCAGAGCCCACAGGTCGGACCTTAAGACAGCACTGTATATATTGTAGAGGCTGACCACGTGCACAATATCTCTCACTCTAGCTAAGCCAGGGGAGGCTATTCTGGGCGTCCACACGGCTTGCACTGGTGACCCTCAAAGCGAGCGAGCGCGTCCGGCAGAGCGACTGAAGAATCGATGCATGTTTTGCCCTGCTGCGCGCTGCCGCTGTCGCGCTTTCCGCCTTGCGAGAACTCCTGGCCTTAAATAAATAATAATACGGACACGCCAAACGAGCCTGCTATGCTGTTATGAATTCTTTTTTCGACTGCGAATGCAGTTTCTTTTCCTCGCATCTTCTCACTTTTCTTGCCCATGGCGCCCCTCGTGCGGACGCCACCGGTTTCGGAGCGCCTCGTGCTGATTCCAGCCATCAGCAAAAACAGCACGACTGGCTTCAAGAACGTGAGCTACGACCGCAGCAGAAAGAAGTTCCAGGTGCAGGTGCGGGATGGCGACAAGCGTGTCCACCTCGGCTGCTTCGACACCGCCGAAGAGGCGGCCACCGCCTACGCTCGGTCAGAGTACGGCCGCGCCGACGCCGCCAAGCAGCTGCAGCCCCGCGCTGCTCCCACTGCCGCCGGCGCCGCGGCGATACTGCAGGCGGCGAGGGAGGGCCTGACTCTCACCGCCAGCAGCGGCAGCAACAGCGGCTACAAAGGCGTGACCTTCTACCCGAAGGAGCAAGGCCGCAAGAAGTACCAGCTGAAGGTGACGGTTGGCGGCAAGTCGGTCGGCCTCGGCATGTTCGCCACCGCCGAGCAGGCGGCGCTCTTCTCCGCCCGCAGGGAGGCGGGCAGGGACACCGGCAGCGATCTCACCGCGCCGCCGCCACCGCCCCCGCCACCTGAGCCTTCCTCTGCTGCTGGCGCCGAGGCAGTCCGGCAAGCGGAGAGGGAGGGCCTGACTCTAGCTACGAGCAGCAGCAGCAGCGGCTACAGGGGCGTTTACTACCGCCCGAAGCAGGAAGGCAGCAAGAAGTACCAGCTGTCGGTGACGGTTGGCGGCAAGCAGCTCCACCTCGGCTACTTCGCCACCGCCGAGCAGGCGGCGCTCTTCTCCGCCCGCAGGGAGGCGGGCAGGGACACCGGCAGCGATCTCACCGCGCCGCCGCCGCCGCCGCCGCCGCCCGCGCCTTCCTCTGTTGTTGGCGCCGAGGCAGTCCAGCAGGCGGGGAGGGAGGGCCTGACTCTAGCTACCAGCAGCAGCAGCAACAGCGGCTACAAGGGCGTCTACTACCACCCGAAGCAGAAAGGCAGCAAGAAGTACGAGCTGAAGGTGTCGGTTGGAGGCCAGCCGCTCTACCTCGGCATGTTCGCCACCGCCGAGCAGGCTGCGCTCTTCTACGCCCGCAGGGAGGCGGGCAGGGACACCAGCGATCTCACCGCGCCGCCGCCACCGCCGCCGCCGCCTGCGCCTTCCTCTGCCGCTGGCGCCGAGGCAGTCCGGCAGGCGGGGAGGTAGGTCGGAGATGGAGGTGGAGGCGGCTGCCGCAGTTGCGCGGCTGTCAATGCGGGTGGCGGCGAGGGCGGCGGCGGCAGCGGCGGCGGCAGCGGCGGCGCGGCCGCGGCGGGAGACCGCGAGGCTGTGAGGGCGAGGGACGTGGCCGCCAGCCACAGGCGCGCCTGGGAAGGGTCAGAAGGTTGAGGGGGGAGGGGGAGGGGCGGGGTCAGGGGCGGCGGGTGGCGCCGGGTCGTAGCGGTCGGTCGCGGGGAAGGAGGGCCAGTGTTGCGGGAATCCAGGGAATCTAAAGGAATCTAGAATCTGTGGGTCCGAGATTCGATCTGGGACCTGAGCCGCTCGGGACCAGCTGCACATGACCCGGGGCCACTGCCATGTCGCAGACGACTGCTGGATCGGCCGTCGCTGCGACCAGCCGTATCAAGCCGTCTTTCTCTTGGTAGTTGGTTTCACTGTGAGTGAGAGTTGTTTTGTTTAAATTCTCTTTCACAGAACTGGGCGAAGTTCCCATATGGGAACCACAGCCGTTTAGGGGTTAACCCTCGTGTTGCATAGTGTCGCTGTTTTCGAAAGGCGCTGACGGCCCGGCGCGTACCGCGCGACGCCCGCGCTACCCGCCACCAGTGGCCCCCCTCTCGCCTCTGTTTTCTGTTGGTTCTGTTTTTCAAAACGCCCGCGGCCCGCCCGCCACCCCGAGGCGGCTCGGCGGCGGCCCCCCACACTCACCCAGACGCCAGAGATCAAAAAAACGCTCGGCCCTAGCGCCGGGGGGGGGGGGGGGGGGACAGGGGGGACACATACGCCCTCAGCTGTCCTGTCGTCCGCTCCGGCGTCCGGGCTCCGGCAGCTCTACTTCGGAGTTGGGTATATGTCCCTACTCGATAGAGCGGTCCCGCCGTAGCTCGCGCATAGAAGCAGCAAGCTAGGCAGAGGCCGCACATCGCGTTCGCTGTATACGTTTTACCCAAAACCGGAACCAAAACACGAATCTCCAATCCAAGAAGGGATGAAATCCCTTATGGATATAATCGCCAAATTATCTCAGGAACATAGTGTGAATGCCCGGGAACAGTCCCTTTCCTTGCTTCTCCCCACGAGCCCACGACACACACAATCGGCGACTTTTGAACACATTCATCTACTTTGCTCGGCGCTACCCTTCAGAACATTATACCTAGGCAAGGAGCCGAGCACAGAGAGCGACGCAGCAGATAGCGATGCACAGCAGAAGGAAAAAACGAAAAAGACGATGGCCCTGGACGGGGGAGGCGACGAGTGGAGAGTAGCCGCCGATGGAGAGGCGACGATCGGCGGGGACGCATGGTGGGGGAGTGACGAACCGGACACGCTCGGACATGGGCAAGAGATAGACGACCTAGTGGGTGGCGGGGAGTGGAGGCGAGGTGCGCCGCAAGCGGTACTCGACAACGTCGCGATCGAGGAGGAGATCGGAGGGGCGGTACAGGAGATGTGGACAAAGGGAGGAGGAAGGGCGGGATACGAAGAGATCGGGAGGAACGACATTGCTCGCGACCCCGTCCTACGACTGTATCTGAGGAGCGACGAGGCGGAGGGCGCAATCCGGAGCGCGCCGCAAGAGCGACTACACGACCGAGAGGGCGAGAACGAGATCGTGATGGACGAAAGCGAGTGTCGGATCATGCGAGAGCGGGGAACGAGCACGACGTGGAGGGCGAGGGACCTGGCGTGCCGCCTGCACAAGTGGCACCACTTCACAGCGGCGGCAGCGACGGACGCCTCGCTGAAGGAGACTCGAGACGGAAGGCTAGCATCGTTCGGGGGATGGGAGGGCGTGCAGCCGAAAGAGGGAGATGACGATACACAAGAGACCAGGGCACAGATTCACGAGCGAATAGGACGGAGAATATGGGGAGGCGCCCTGCCGGGATCGTGGGAGATTGTCGACGCCGAGATGTACGCCATTTACAGCTTCCTGCGCACGAAGGCGGACGAAACAGAAACGACCCTCCAGCCTCACCGATGCCTAGTAATGTCGGACAGCGAGACGGCGCTCAAGGAGATCGAACGGGCGTATCGGGGGCGGACACGCGGCGAGACAAATAGGAGCGCACTCAATGCGGCGGTGCAAGCACAAATCGACATTATACAGCGCCACGGAGGGTACGTGATTTTCATCTTCACGGAGGGGCATGCGGGCAACGCGCCCAATTCCATGGCGGACGCGGCGGCAAAGGCACACCTGCGGAGCAGGGTAACGAGCGCGTACGAGATGGACCTAGCACGACACGTGACGAACAGGGCATGCATCTACATGCATGAGGAAGAGGGGCAGGCGCCGGAGATCCGAGACAGGAGGCTGTATCAAGAAGCGAAGGAGAAAATTGGGCGATGGGTACGAAAGCGGCTGGACGGCGGGCACGCAGCGCGAAAGGGAGGAGACGACAACGTGTGGAGGACGGTAATCAAGGCGACGGGGACGATATCAGGCGACACGAGATACGAGGGAGACAGAGAACGGGGTCCAAAATCGACCCAGCGCCAGCCCGAGGCCTGCGGGGAGAAGGCGAGGCTAAGGCTGGTACACGGCATGCGGACGGGACAGACCCGAGGTATAGAGCACGGGAGGCGATGGAGGGCCAGCCTAGAGGCAGAGGCGTGGCAGGACGGGTGGGACGAGGAGGGAGGAGGAGCATGTGCCGATGGGGCTGAAGGTTGCTGGCATCCTGGATGTTGCAGGACAATAGCTAACACTAGGCACGTCCTATGCGCCGAGTGCGAGGCGGTGAAGGGGGAGAGGAGGGAGCACCACCGGGCGATGAGGAAAGGCGCGGCGGACGTGCTCAAGGCGCTACGATGGACGCCGCCGAAGTCAAGGAGGCGGACACTCGCCCACACCGCAGAGTGCGAAGCCCAGGCGCTCGCTGTACGCGCCATTGCTGGGGCGACGAAGAGATGCGCGGGGAGAAGGGAGAGCGACGAGGAATGGGAGGCGATGGAGCAACTGCTAGCTGGACGACTACCCGAGCCGAGTGTGATGGACCAGGACCCGCCAGAAGACATCATGAGGGAGTATGACACACGGGTGGTGACTTCACTCAAGGCACTGCAGCAGACGGCGGCATCAATAATCAAAGTACGGGAAGGGAAGAGGAAGGGACTCGAGGCGGAGAGGAAGGAACGAGTAGCCGCGGAAACAGAACGCCTGAGAGAGGGACAGAAGGAAAGGAAGGAGAGGATACGAGAAATGGAGTGGGCGGCGAATGCGTGTATTTGCTGGCGACGGAGGCGACATCGACAACGTGATGCCGAGGAGAAGGAAAGGGAAGAGGCAGAGAGACGCCTCGAAGCGGGGAGAGGCAGAACGACGAGAGCGATGGGGATGACACTCAAAACGACCCACTGCGAGCTCGAAGGCGAAGGCCAGCGCAGGAAACGCGGTGATAGGAACGACGATGCGGCGAGCGCCGGAGGGAAGCGACGACAGCGAGGGGACGAGGACGGCGAGCAGAGAGGAGAACAGACGGCGAGCGGCGCACGCGAGGGCGACCACGCAGGAGAAAACAGACGGGACGAGGGGAAGGAAACGCGGCCCGCCAGGAAGCGAAGGCAGACGGCAAGATACGTCGCCGGACCAGCGACAGGAAGCGCAGGAAAACAAAAAGAACAAGACCAGGAGCATGGAGACGAGGGAAGGCGCGAGGCGCTCCGCCGACAAGCAGCAGAGGCGGCGGCGAAAGTAACGACGGCCATGCTAACGACGGGCGGCACGGTGGAAGGGGCGAAGGTAGGCCCCTCTAGCATAGCGGAAGGGGAACTCGGCCTACTGGCGACGAGGAGGCTAGAGAAATTTGAGGTGTGTAGCATCTACACTGGGGAGATCTTCCGGACAGGAACGGCGCAGCCACCAGAGACAGTACCAGACGAACTATCACGACACACGGCAGCAGGGGGGACGCAGCTGGATGGAAGTGACGACGAGAGCGGGGACGACTTTGACAGCGTCGCGGCGCGGTGTAACTTCGACTGGCCTGCAGCATCGAATGAGCCGAAACGAGGCACGAGGGCGACGCACTTCGTACGCTACGAGGAGATACAATTAGGCAAGGCAGCTGCGCAGGTGATGGTCCTGTTTGCAGAGAGGGGAGTCAAGGAAGGCCAAGAAATCACATGGTCATATGGGGACTCATACAGGAGCCACCGCAAGGAGATGGGATACAGGGCGGGGACCAGGGCGGATCCGAACGCAATAACACCCCAGCAAGCGCGGACGGCATTCGCGAGATACTGCAAAAAGATAGACGTGACGAAGGAGGAGCTAGCGTGGAACTTTGGATGCATATCGGCAAGCCAAAATAACGAGCAGGAGGCTGTCCTGGTGCGTGAGCTAATCCTGAGCAACAATAAGCGACTGTACCACGGAGCACAGAGCGCAGCAGACAGGACGGCGGCGACGGCGGACATGGCAGAGACGAGTGTGAAACAAAGGGCGGCGGGCATGGAGGGCGGTAGCGACGGGGATGGAGACGGTGACGGTGGCGAGGGAGAGGAAGGGGGTCCATTAACACCAGACAGCGAGAGGGGCAGGGAGGAAAGGGGGAGAGAGGAAGCCAACGCGACGTGCGCAGAGGATGAGGATATAAACTGGGACGACGCAGCGGAGGGGATAGGCGAGGGAATCGAGGGACCGGAGGGCTTTCGCGACAGCGACGATGACGACGAAGAAAGGGGAGGGGACGGAGGGGCGACACGCAGGAGGAGCGAAATCGCTAACGGCCCGAGCAGAGAGGGCGACGGCGGGGCACGAGGGAACAACGGAGACGCTACCGATGACGCGAACCGAGGCACGGACGCCGGCGGGGACGGGGAGGGCGACAGCGACGTCGAGGTTGACGCAACCGTATCGAGAGCGCCACCCAAAAAGGGGCGGACAGCCATGGAGGTCACCGAATGGAGGGCGAACGGCACGATGCGAAAAGGCAGGGCGAGGCGGATGGAGAAAGAAGTGCCGAGAAGGCCATGGTGGAGGGGAGGGACGGGAGGACGAAAGAAGGGCGAGGAGGACGAGCGGCCCGCACAGACCGCGAGCAGACAGCGCCTGCTGGCCATTTCGAGACATTCGCCAAGAACGCTAGCTACATGGGAGGGCTTCGTGAAGGATGGATTGAAAAACATTCGAACAAAGAAGAGGCGACGGGAGGAACCGGCGGAGGATGCAGTGACGTGACACACACACACACACACACACACACACACACACACACACACACACACACACACACACACACACACACACACACACACACACACCGCTCACCCACGCGCACTGGGCCTTGCACTTTGAATGCCGTGGGGCTCCTGTCGTCAGACGTGGAGACGCGAGGGTTGCCCCCCCTTGCCCCACCACCTCGCGTGTGTGTGGAGAAGTTTACCTTACCTTACCTTACCTTACCTTTGCCTTCGCGACGACCGATGTCGCCAGCCGAACTACTGACCCTCGAAGCTCGATCGATCGATGGGAGGTTGAAGAGTTGGTGTCTGAGGTGATCACCCGCCTGTATAGTGCGCCAGATAGGGGGCCAGCTAGCTCCGCACGCTTGCCGCCATGCCTGACCTCGGCCCTGGCCCGGGGGGAGGGGCGAGGGGGGTGAGGAGCTGGTGCGGGCACAGGTGCGCACCGGCGGGGCTCTAAGCGCGGCCTCCTCGGGACAAGTGTTCGCATCACATCGGGTCAGATGCATGTCTAAGTATTTTGAGGTGAGTATCGTCATCGGAGGGCGTGCGGGCACACGTGAGAAGGGGGGGGGGGGAGGGGAGTGGCGTCGTCCCACCTCATTCAAGGGCGACGAGGTCGAGAGCACGAGGGTCCTGCGCGGGCGAGAAGGCGGCGGAGCTCGTCATGAGACGGGGAGGGAGGCGACTGGCGAGAGAGGGAGGCAGACGCAGAGGGGCGGAGGGGGCGGGCGGGAAGAGGTCCTCAGTCGATGGGTAGGCCGGTTTGCCCAAACTAAAAACAAGCTTTAGGGGGGGGGGGGGAAAAAGAAGTTGGTTTTCTTCCTCGATCCCGTTTGGGGGGGGGGGGGGGGGGGGGCGGGCGGGCGGGGACGCGGCTCAGCATTCGTGAGATTCCGGTTGAAGCGAACTCGTCAGAATGTGGGATCAGTCGAGGGAGCTGTCGATCCTCCTCGCCGCGGGGAGGGGGGATGCAGGGCGGGGGGAGGGGGAGGGGTCTGCGAGGGGGGTCGCTCTCAGTCTCATTAAATCAGTGTTGGTTGTAGCTCCCATGGTGCGGGAGATAGGCTTGAGATCGTCCTCGAGCGATGGTGCAAAGAGGAGGGCGCGGGAGGAGGAGAGGGGGGGAAGGGGGGGGGGCAGGCGCACGAGAAATCCATCGCAAAGTCGCGCAGCCGTCAAGACGCCGCGGCGAGCGAGCCCGCCGTCGCGCGACGCCTCGCCGGCCGCGGTTGCCTCGCGACCGCCTCCCCTCCCAGCTAGGTCGAACTCAGCCGAGGGTCGTGCCGGGCGGCCGCCCGCCCGCCGCTCGCACGTTTGCGCCTGCGACGTAGGCCGCGTCTTCGGAGGCGAGCCAGCAGACGACGCTCGCGATCTCGTCGGGCGTGCCCATTCGGCCGAGCGGGATCTGCGCAGAGGCGAGGGGAAGAGGGGGTGGGGGCAGGGAGGGTGTGAGCGGCGCGGCGCCACTTCATCACGCACTACGTCGGCGACCTACGCGCGGCTAACACCCTCTCTCGCCCGCGCTCCTGCGAGAAGTCAAAGGTTTGCGCCGCGTCAGCCACCAGGTCGGTGTCGGTCATGCCGGGAGAGACCGTGTTGATCCGCACGCCGCCCTCGGCGAGCGGGCGGACCTGCGCCGGGCGCAGAGGAGGGGGGTGGGTGGGTGGGTGGGTGGGGGGGGGGGGGGGGCAGCGGAGGCGATGAGGGCGGCGGCTGGGCGGTGAGGGCTGTCAAGGCGGCGGCGAGAGCGCTGGCGGTGAGAGCGCTGGCGGTGAGAGCGCTGGCGCGGACCAGGCCGATGGTCAGCGAGTTGAGCGCGCCCTTGCTGGCCGCGTAGAGCAGGGGCGAGCCGATGTAGGCCGAGCCGGACGAGACCTGCACGATGCTGCCTCCCTGCCCGCCGTGCTTGGTCGACATCCGCCGCTCGGCCTCGCGGCAGCAGAGGAGCGGGCCGACGACGTTCGTGTCGCAGACCGCGCGCAGCTGATCGGCGGTGGCGACCTCCTGCAGGCTGCCGGCGGGGCCCAAGACGCCCGCGTTGTTCACCAGCACGGCCAGCCGCGAGGACGGGCCGAACGCGGTGTCGGCCACCTGCGTGTAGGACGTGGGGGCGGCGGTGAGGCCGGTGTCGGCGGTGGGGTGAGCGAGGACAGCGGCGAGTGAGAGGCGGCAGGGAGAGAGAAGCGGCCGTGCAGCAGGAACCTCAAAGAGACGCACGACGTCCTCCTCGCGCGAGACGTCAGCACGGACGGTGACGGCCCGCCCGCCGCAGGCCGCAATCTCCTCGCTGACACTCGCAGCGGACGCGTCGTCCGAGCGGTACGCGACGACCACGCCGTATCCACGCGCCGCGAGCTGGCGGCAGCAGGCGGCACCGATGCCACGGCTGCCTCCGGTGACAACAGCCACGGGAGCGGGAGGGGCCGCCGCCATCGACGGCGGCCCGCTGCGAAGCCCGCCAACTGCGGAGGCGCCGGCCAGCGACACCACGGCCGCGAGGCCGGCTCTTCTGTAGAGCAGCATGACACACCCAGTGGAGGGCGCCTGAGTCTAAATTTAGTGCGGTGTGAAGTGTTTATCTACTGCATCTTTAGCGCACTTTAGCGCAAATTTAGCGCAACTTTAGCGCAACTTTAGCGCAAATTTAGCGCAACTTTAGCGCAAATTTAGCGCAAATTTAGCGCGAGTTCACTGCGACTTTACATCCAGATTTAGCGAGGTTTAGTGCGTCTTTAGTCCAGCCGCGCAGTAGGATCCAGCCGCAGACCCTCGCTGGGCCTCCCTCCCCCTCTCCCCCTGCAGTTCCCTGCCCACTCGCAAAAGTTCCCCGTCCCATCCCCAACCAACCGAACGAAGAAGGTTCTTCAGCTGAATGAATATCAACCTCAAGGGGGTGCTTTCCGGGTGCATGGCTGGGGCTGGATCCAACATGCTACGAGTACACGCGTATGTAAAGCTGCTTGCGGTGACTACATGGATCATTGCCATTTGGCCGTTTCTGTCCTCGTGGTCTGGATCCTTCATCCTTTGGTTCAACATTGGCTTTGAAATTCCAAGACCGACCCTCACCTCTACTCTATTACAGCTGGTGGTCACGGGCACAGCATGGGTTGTGCGGTCGGAGGTGGTGCTTGCGGTGGCGCATTCAACTGTGCTGGTCCTCCTCTCGGGAATCGGTTATGTGCCGGTGTCAGTCGGGAGATCTTGCTCTGGAGGGCTGCATATCTAGCCTCACTGGGTCTGGGAGCCTGCCTTTGGGTCATGAGGGCAGGGGCCAGGCATCTCCTGTGGTGCATTCTTGGCAGCCAAGGAGCAAAGCACGCGGCCCTGGCTAGCTGTGGTGTGGCTGGGAAGCCGTGCTAAAGATGCGTGCCGCACTAAAGATGCGGGACCCACACTAAATGTACTGCAGCTGCCCGCACCTAAAGTGAACTAAATGTGGCGCTAAATTGGAGATAAAACACACTAAATATGTGCTAAATATGTGCTAAATATGTGCTAAATATGTGCTAAATATGTGCTAAATATGTGCTAAATTTGTGCTAAATTCGCGCTAAAGACGCACTAAATACGCACTCGAACACGCACTAAATAGCGCACTAAACTATCACTAAAGTTCATTCACACGCACTAAATTTAGACCCAGGCGCCCTCCCCTAGTCACGAGGTGCTGGGTGGGATTGGAGGCGGTTACGCAGGTGTGAAGTGGCGATGCGCAAAACATCAACAACGCTGCTCGCAACATGCGTGTCGCGCACTCATTCATGACCGGTCTCAATGCCCCACCCCCCTGCGCGCGGGCCTTCTAAGCCCGCGGGTAGTCCCCCCCCATCCCCAGGGCCTCCAGGGCTCGCACCTCAACCTCTCACAGGCCAGCGCACAGCGCCATAGGAGGTATTTTCTTCTCAATAACAAGGCTGTGAACAACTGTCGTGACCACGGCGCCGCAGGCGCCTTTTGCCAGGTGATAGCCCTGGATGGACAATACATACGCCTAGTTGGACCTCAGATCGCCCGACCGCGTCCCGGCGCTTTGTGGTCGGATTTGTGACGCCGCCGCACCGCGCCGCGGCCGGGGGACACACACTCCACACTGGTCAGCGTCTGTCTCACACGTACACTGATGTCTGATCGTACGAAGGTACGAGTTAGCTGTGTGTGAAGCTTGTTTCTTGAGCACTTGAGCACCGGATAGGGTCGATTCCGCATGGTACGGGCTTGTTTCTTGAGCACTTGAGCACTGGATAGGGTCGGTTCCGCATGGTACGGGACCCCTCGATCGTCTCGCCCACCCTCACTGGTGTGTTCATTGGGGGGGGTCATAACAAACACGGTACAGGATCGAGGTGCACGCTGCCGAAGCAGTGTCGTCCCCCCTCTCCCCGACGGCGATGGCGGTGTGACCGATCGAGCTACAAGAGGAGCTTGTTCAGCAGGATCCGGAGTGGTCAGATGCACTACCTCACTGGGCCTAGGGGATGTTTGACGGCCTCCTCGGCACTCCTCGGGATTGGGACGGGTCCGATCTGAGCACTGACCTCCAGCACCTCCCCCAGAACGGTAGTGGACAGCGGCAGAGGTGTCGGCAGACGCGCCGATGACGAAGTTGCTGAGCTCCCACGCCCTTCGCAGCGTCGAGCGAGCTCGATGGCGTTGGCGTCGGCGGGGACGAAGGCATCGACGACGACGGGCGGCGCCGTGCCGGGAAGGGCTGGCGTCGTCGGAGGTGGCGCAGGCGGGGTGATGTTCTGGGTGCGGATGCCGCCACGGAGCTTGACGTTGGACATCACACCGCCGAGCAGCGTGAAGGAGCGCTCGTCGAAGTAGACGTCGTTGCTCGAAGTGATGCGCCCAAGCTCCGGTGGATGTACACAAAGTAGCCGCGGCGGCGCCGGCGCACGTCGTAGCCGAGGTGGAGAGGGAGAGGGAGAGGGAGAGGGAGAGTGAGAGTGAGAGAGAGAGAGGAGAGAGAGTACGAGGGAGAGGAGAGAGGGGGAGGATAGGGAGAGTGATAGGGGGAGAGGGAGAGGGAGAGGAGAGAGAGTAAGAGGGAGAGGGAGAGGGAGAGGGAGAGGAGAGAGAGCAGAGGAGGGAGAGGGAGAGGAGAGGAAGAGGAAGAGAGAGAAGAGGGAGAGGGAGAGGGAGAGTAAGAGAGAGAGGGAGAGGGAGAGTAAGAGGGAGAGAAAGAGGGAGAGTGAGAATAGAGAGAGTGAGAGGGAGGGAGCGTAAGAGGGAGAGTGACGTAGGGTTGCCTAACGTTAACTTTGGGCCTAACAGTTGCGCTAGTGTTGGCTGAAATCCTCAACGTTGTTCAAGTGTTCACCCCAGCCCATGCTGTTACTGTTTGTTACTGTTGTTACTGTTGTTCAGCGGCCAGCAAGCAGAAAATGGCAAAAAACCCGGGTAAAACCCGAAAATACCTGGAATTTTCCGGGTATTTTCGGGTATTACCCGCACTGGACACTAGAGATCGTCGTGGGTTACTGCCAGGCCTTCCTTACTGTTGTTCAGTCGGCCTAACGTTAGCTACTGTTGTTGGGGGGGCCCACTGTTGACACTGTTCAGCTCTTAACGTTACTTAGGCAACCCTAAGAGTGAGAGGGAGAGGGAGAGGGAGAGGGAGAGGGAGAGGGAGAGCTCGCCCTCCATGCGGCGCACCATTGGGGGCGCTGCGGACTATTTAGGCCTCGTCGCACATCGCGCGCATTCTGGATTGTCTTATTTATCTGAGGTTAAAATATCCATTTGAAAATGCTTGCCACATCTCAGGGATGGCGACGCCAATTCAGCCATCCTGAGATGCAGCGCCCTCCGGCCAGCATCTCAGGATGTATGGCTCATTCAGCCAGGGATGTAGTGGACATCTTTGGTTGCCTCAGGCATCCCAAGATGCATGAAGCAATTCAGGATGCGCGAAGCAATTCAGGATGCGCGCGCATCCTGAATTGCTTCATGTATCTTGGGATGCTCGAGGCAATCGAAATTAGAATGGAGATCGTATCGGCTATCGGGCAATTTCAGATGCCTCAGCATCTCAAATTGCGGGTTCCCCCCGCCCCTGACGGGCCCCGACGCGCGCGGGGCCGCGGCCCGCCGGCCCCGCGGAGTAGACAGGAGAGGAAGTCCAAGCTAATAAATAGCGCATGGTCACACAAGTAGCACACACACAGGTCACTCACTGCACACTGGCAGCACGCACATCTCACTCTCTCGCTCTCGTGGTCAGAGCTCATCCTTGGCCCCGCCGGGCTTCCTGCTTGCGGCGCAGCCGATGCCGCACGACGCGGCGCAATTCTCCCTCATCCAGCCCGGGTTCCGCTCGCACTCCCCCGTGGCGGCCCACCTCGCGCAGTGCTCCGACGTCTGCCCTCCTCCCCCCTCGCCGCAGTCGCCGCACGAGGCCGCGCAATGCTCCCTCATCCAGCTCGGGTTGCGCTCGCACTCTCCCGCCGCGGCCCACTCTCCGCAGTGCTCCGACCCCTCCCCGCCGCCGCCCTCATCCGCGGCTTTGGGCTCCTCCTCGCGGCACACCCCGCACGCGCGCGCGCAGTTGAGGCTCATGAAGCCGGAGTTGGTGTCGCACTCCCCTCTCTCCGCCCACGACTCGCACTCCGGCCGCTTGTCCGCGCACGCGCCCTGCCCCGCATGCCCGCTCTGCGCCAGCGCCGCGACGCGCCTCCGCCGCGTCAGCTTGTCGGAGAGCTTGTCGAGCTGCTTCGCCGCGGCGGGCGCGGCTGCGGCCGCGTCCCTCCGCAGCGCCTCGAGCTGCTGGCCCGAGAGCCCCTTCAGCTCGGCGAGCGACCGGATGCCCCTCTGCTGCAGCACGCCGTGCAGCGCTCCGAGGCCAGCCTCGTACGCCCACGCCCACGCCTCGCAGCCGCCGCAAGCCCGCATGCACCCCTCATCCATGAAGCCGCGGTTGCGGCTGCACTGCCCGTTGCGCGCCCACGAGTCGCAGTTGCCTATCAACGGTGAGAGCAGAGCATCGCTCGCCCCGCCCCTGCCATGCCGCGCAGCGCGACGCGGCTGCCGTTCGAGTCGACGCACTTTGGCTTGACCACCACCCGCTGCGGCGGGGAGCCCGGCCGGAGCGCTTCGACGTCGTCGAGCGTGAAGTGCGCCAGCGCCGCGCCCTTGCCCAAGATGTGGCCTGCGGTCGCGTTTGGCCAGCAGAACCACTCGTGGGAGAGGAAGGAGCTGTGCCTGCGCCCACAGGCGAGTGTGTGTGCAGGCGCGGAGCAGGAGCCTCTCGCGCGAGGGGAGGGACGCGCCGCCACGACTCTCCCGGAAGCACCTCCCCCATCTTGCTCGCGGACCGGCCGTTGATCCACCAGCAGCGCAGCGGCCTGTGGTCCTCGTTCACGATCTCAAACTCGACGGCCAGCTTGTGGTAGGCCCAGCTCACAAAGCCGTCGTCGCTCTCGAACCGCTCCACATCCAGCTCGGCCGCGCTCGGGTAGCCCTCGCCGCTCCCCTCCTCGCCGTCGCCGCGCCGGATGCGCACCCAAGCGACCGCCGGCCCGTCAGTCTCCACGCCGAGCGCGCGCGCGACGCCGCCGTCCGAGCCCCCAACGATGAAGGTCTGCAGCACGTCCTCCCACCTACTCTCCCGGGCAATCTCGCGTCCTCGCGGGTCCTCTCCCACCATCGAGGTCCGCAGTCTCCTCCCACCAAAAGCCGTCTCCGTGCCGAGGGTTGGACCAGCCGGCAAACGGGTACGGGAAGCGGAGCCGCTCGCGGAGGAGGTGCTCGCCTGGAGGGAAGGCCGTCGCGTCGGCATGTGCGTCTCGGTGCGAGGCGGCGGTGGGGAGAGTGGGAGAGCGGGAGCGGCGCGCCTTGGCTGGAGGACTTGCCGACGAACCCAATCAGCCCGTAGCGCGCGCCGCTGCTGCCCGGCCGGAGCGCGTCGCGCAGCTGGTCGAGGGAGTGGAGCCGCACCATCCGCTGCTGCGCCAGGTTCACCTCGAACTGCTCGTAGGAGCGCCGAGATGGTCTGCGGTAGTGCTGCTGCTGCCGCCGCCGCTGCTGCTGCTGCTGCTGCTCGTACCCAAAGCCGTCGTCACCGCTGCCCCGCTGTCGGGCGTTGCGCGCCTTGCCGTCTGGGACGCTACCCGACGCGTCGTACACACGCCGAAGGTTGTCGTCGCCGAGCACCTCGTACGCCTCGGAAATTGCCTTGAAGCGAGCGGTCGCCGCCTCCTTCTCCACCTCGTCAACCTTGTCCGGGTGCGTTTGCAAGGCCGCACGGTAGTATGCCTTCTTGATGTCTTTGGCGCTTGCGGACCGCGTCAAGTTCAGCCGCGCGTAGAGCTCCTGCGCGGTGGCGTGGCTTAGCAGAGCCAGCCAGCAACACCGGCGGAGACACCGCATCAGCAACCTCTTGTCGTCCAAAAAGAGAATTTGGCGAGCCCGCTCAAAAAGAGAAGCGCCCGCCTGAGGTTATTTACAAAAGTCTCGACCACGCACCGGTGTGGGGGTCCCTAATTTTGGGTGGCTATCGCGAGACCTCGAGAGAATGTCTATGCGGGCGGGAAAAGGCGGGGAGGGGGGGGGGCGGGGGGCGGTGAGCTGTACTTCTGACTGTCGTTGCTGTCGCTCTCCCTTCTCGACTGTCTGTGCTTGTGCGTCTTGGGTCCGGGGTTGTGTTTTTCCGTGAGCTGTACTGCCCAGTGCCCGGGAAAAAACGATTGGCTCCACATCCCCAATATGTCATATGTGAGCTCACTGGCTTCACAGAAAACACACAACCCCGGACCCAAGACGCTCAAGCACAGACAGTCGAGAAGGGAGAGACAGCAACGACAGTTAGAAGTCAGCGCTGGGTACCAGGAAGGCGAATGCGATGACGGCCTCTAGTGTGAGCTCTAGCTAGTGAGCTCATACGCACGCCGGCAGATCGCGACTATATACAGCTAGTCAGTCACTGGCTTCACGTGCTCTTCACCTGAGCACCCCGCTGCTCTCCTGTTGGAAGCGCCCGACGGCGAAGCCCCAGCGGTTGCACTGCTGCTGCACGCCGCGCGGCGCGAGCGCGCCGCGGCAGGGATTGTGGCTGCTGCCCGCGCTAAACGGCCCGTACAGCTCGTCGACACGAGTCAGGTTGCGCCGTGTGGTTGCACTGAGGGCCCTCCCGGGCCCGACAGCAATGTCGTCCACGACCAGAGCCGCCCCCGGCGCGGCGACGGCACTAGTATGCTCGATGTCCTGCATCGCGCCACGCCAGCGGTGGTCGCCGTCCACGAAGACGACGTCGCACACGCGCGCGGCGGCCACGTCGCCTCCGGCTGCAGCGGCGAGCCGCGCCCGCCACGCCGGTACTTGCCGAGTCGAGTCGCCCTCGTGCACGACGAAGCGATGGCCAAACGCGCGGCGCAGCGTGTCGACGGCCGCGCGCGAGTAGGGGAGCGCGAGAAGGTCGAACGCCTATTCTCAAGTTGCGTGGTCGGCGCACTGGCATAGGGTGACCAAGTGCGAGCGGGCGGCATGCGTGGACGACTAGCCGCGGGTTTGCAACGAGCATCGCGGCGGCCGAGTGGCCTCCGTTCAGGCCAATCTCGCAGTACGTTGCCCCGCTGCCCGCTGTCTGCGCGAGCGCGATCATTCGCCGCAGCTGCAACGGCCGAATGTATCCAGCGGCGAACCTTCGAGGGAGGTGTGCGAGGTGCTGTGCGAAAGCGCGGCTTGTCTGCTGTGGCGGGGTGCGACTCACGTGTAATTTGGAGCGAGGGTTACCATCAGGCTGTCTAGCCTTGCAAACCACGACTGCACCGCCGCCAGCACCGCCGCGAGCGCCTCTTTCTCGTGCGGTATCGAGGTGAGGTTCTCAGGCACTGAGCTGTACGGAGAGCCGTCATAGACTGCCTTTGGCCGCAGGGTGCGGCACAGCCCGCCGGTGGCGTGCGGCGGAGAGGTGGCAAGCGCGAGCGTTGCCTCATCGTTTGGGCCACAGTAGACCCGGCCGCCGCCGGTAGTCTTCCGGAAGGGGCAGCGAAAGGGCGGCTCACGCGAACCGGTCGCATTGAAGTAGCCGCGGCACCCGCCCGCGACCCAGACGCGCGGCGGTTGGCGGAGGGCCGCATCCGAACGGCCGGGCTCGCACCCAAAGGTGACGCCGGCGACGCACCTCCCGTGTGTGCGGTCGTGGTGGAGCGTGCAGGCGGCCGCGCCGCGAATAGCAGCCGGGGGCATTAGCGTGCCGAGCGTGATAGTGTGTGACACGTCCAACAAGTTTTCCCTCCTTTTTCTGGAGTGTGTCATGGGTAGATCGTACATGTACGTCAACAAAAAAGGAACATTGGTTGTGCAACAAAGAGAATTTTGAAGAGACATGTCATGTTGGAGAGAGAAGAGTTTGTTTCAATGTTGGAGAGTGTGAACTCAAACCTACATCCTGACCGTAGCCTGACCGTCCTTGTGTAACCGTCTCATGTTTGGTTTGTCCTGCCGCGCACATTGTCATCGACTTGTATCCGACTTGGTGGAGGCTGTGGTGATGTAGCGATGGTGTGTGGGTCTCTAGTGACCATACAGCTTCTTTCTCCGTGTTCCGTCTCCTGACAGGTGTATTCTTTTTTTGCTTGGGCGGACAGCATGCTGAAATTCTGAAAAAACCTGGCCGGCCCCTGCGGTGCCCCTACCTACCTACCTACCTACCTACCTTACTTATGGGGAACTAAAAAAGAAATCACGGATGGGTGAAGGTGGGGTACTATACCAACTAAAGTGATGGGTGGTGGTACTCTCCGCGACCACAGTCCTTCCTGAGACATGACAGGCCACTCTCAAGCCCTACAAGCACCAGACACCCACATGGGGAGGGTCGACATCGTGATTTCCGCGGAAAATTTCTTTTTCTGCTGTGAAAGTTCCAGCGTGGAGAGAGGGGAAAACCCGACGGGAGGGCCCAGACCGACCCTACCCCCCGGCGTGCTTTCCGCCGAAGCAAAAAAAGAATAGCTTCAGAAAAGTCCGGGAAGCGTGCCATGGCGATCAGCACCCGAGTGCAGCACGAGCGATGAGCGAGCCTGCTCCCACCGCTGCGCTCGACTCCTTGCCGTCTGCGCTGCGTGAGCGCATCCGCGGCGAGCCGAGTGCACAGCAGCAGCCGTGCGCGCCTCCTCCGCGCACGCGCATCGCAACCACGGCTCCAGCTCACGTCCTCTACCTCGTCCGCACCGCCCTCCGTGCCGAGAGGAACCCGGCGCTAGAGGTGGCGCTGCGCATAGCCTCGGCACAGGGCATCCCGCTGGTGTGCGTCGCTGTCGTCGAGGACTCGCATCCGCCAGCCGTGCCGCGGCTTCGGCGGCCTCCGACCGACCGCTCCGCCGCGTTTCGTCTTGAAGCGCTGAGCGAGCTGCAGCCGGCCTTCGAGAAGCGTGGCACGGCCTTGTGGGTGCACCTCGTGCGTGACGGCTGCCGCGCCGCCGTCGCGATGAGCTTGGCCGCACGAGCCGCACTCGTCGTTGCTGAGGAGCACTTTGGTGTCGAGCCGCACGCACACGCGATCGGGCGCTCTCCGCCGCAGCCTCCACCGCCGCCCTCACTCACCAACGACCCACCGCCGCCACCACCGCCGCCCCGAGCCGCACGCACACGCGATCGGGCGCTCTCCGCCGCAGCCTCCACCGCCGCCCTCACTCACCAACGACCCACCGCCGCCACCACCGCCGCCCCTCGCAGGCGCGTCGCCTCCACAGGCTGCCCGGTGTGGCTGGTCGACTGCCACTGCACAGTACCGGCAAGGCTCGTCGCCGAGGCGGCACTGAGGGGAGGCAACCGAGGCTTCGTCGCTGCCACGGCGGCGCAGCGCGCAGAAAGGCTGCGGGCCGACTGGGACCCTCCGGCCGCTCCGCCGCCGGCCTCACCGCCGCCGCCGCCGCCGGCATGGAGCGTCGACTTGCGGCCGGCCCACTCGGTGGAGGAGGCGCTCCTGCTCCCGAGCCGGCGAGACGCGACGGTACGCCCAGTGGGACACACACGCGGCGGGCCAACCGCCGCCGCCGCCCGCTGGCGCCGCTTCGTCGCGTCGGGTGGTCTGAAGAGCTACGCTTCACACCGCAACAACCCGCTCGCGGAGGGGAGAGGCGGCCTGCGACGCGGCTGTTGGGTCGACGGCGGCAGGACGCGTGTCCATGACCCGTCCACCACCCCTCTTCCCGGCAGGCGCCTCCCGCATGTCCGCCTACGTGAACAGCGGCATGATCGACCCGGCCACCATGGCGCGCGACGCCGCCTCCGCGCGGGCAGACAAGTTCCTGGACGAGTTCGTCGGCTGGCGCGAGGCGCCGTATGTCTGGTGTCTCCGCCACCCGGGGGGGTATGCGCGCGCCGCCGTCGCCGTACCAGCTTGGGGACGCAACCAGCTCGCGGGCTGTGGCGGCGGCGGCGAGGGCCCAAGCTTGGCGGAGCTGGAGAGTGGTCGCACGGGCGACGCGTACTGGGATGATTGCCAGCGCTGCCTCGCGCTGAGCGGAGAGCTGCACAATAACGTCCGGTGCGCGCGGAGCGAGAGAGCTCTGGCGCCGGCGCCATTTTGGGCCATTGCTGACAGGTCCCCACCCCTCGCGCCCCTCTCAGAATGGCGTGGGGCAAGGCGGTACCGGCTTGGTGGGAGGCTGCCGCTGGCGAAGTCGAGCCGGCAGGAGCGGGAGGGGGGGCAGCAGCAGCGGGCGCCACGCCGCCGGCCGCCCGGCTGCAGCTGGCGCTTGAGCTGCTCATCCACCTCAACGACAGCTTCGCGCTCGATGGGGGCGCGCCGCCCTCGTACGGCGGCCTCCTCTGGTGCCTCGGCTGGCGCGACAAGCCCGGCCCCGGAGGCGCGCCCGCGCCAGAGTCGCCCACGCAGAGCCCGAGCCCTCCTCCCACGGCACCCTGCCTCCGTCGCTAGGCGCGCCCACGCCGCGCCCGACGACGGTCCTCAGCCGGCGCATCAAGCCCGGCGACCTCGAGCGCCTAGCGATGCGGCGCACAGCCTTTCGGGAGGCGCCAATTTCCGGCGCGGCCGCGGCGCAGCTGACGGCGGCGGTGCAGCCGACACCGGCAACGGCTGAGGCGATGAGCGATGCGGGCGGAGGCGGGCAGAAGCGCGCGCTGGCCGCTGCGCCGGCAGCCTCCGCACAAAAGAAGGGGACCCTCTTGAGTCATTTTGCGCGCTCCACGGGCGGCGGAGAGGAGGCCACGACGCAGCTTCGCTCGCCAGCGCGGCCGGAGGCGGGCAGAGTGGGTGAGGGCGCTCCCGGCCCCCTGTCGCCTGCAAAGCTGCTGCGGGAGGCGAGCGAGGATCAAATCGCGCGGCTGGTGGGGAGGGGGGGGAGGGGGAGGTGACACGGCGACGGCCGACGGGATCCAACAGTCGCTCTCCTTCACACGCCCTTTATCGAGCGTGCAGAGTGCAGTGGCGAGCTCGGCCTCCAGCGCGAAAAATTCGAAAAAATCACAAGTTCAAGTGAAGAAGTGACAAGTCGGAAGTGTGAGAGCGGTGCCGGTGGCCGGTGCGAAGAGAGTTATAAGACTAAAGTCTAAAGAGAGGTGTGTAAACTGTGGGTAATTCTAAAATTGTCTCAACGCGCACCGAGCACCGTCCGGCGTCCGAGAGTGCATATGTGTAGTACATGTTATCTGTTAATCTGACAAGAAACTCAACTCTATCAGACCGCACACACACACATAGAGCCGTATGCAGCATGCCCGTGAATCACCAAGTGTACAGTCGGGCGAGGTCGGTTGCGGGACCCGGGAGCGCCTCTCCGGGTCCCCCGCGCACCTCGGGGTTGCGCGGCATGGCATGCGCGATATCCCCCCTCCCTACAAAGGCGGCGCTGCGCTAGCGGCGGAGCGACTCTGCCGCGCGCGGCGACTCTTGGCGGGCCGAGCCGCCCTAGGCCTCGGCTTCATCGGCCGTGGACGCCTTCGGCTTGTTCGCCTCGCCCGGAATGGCAACAGACGAGTAGTCCATCTGGTCTGCGCCGCGCATCTCCTCGCCCTTGGGCATCCACAGCTGCGGGTCGAACTTGCCGAGCGCGCCCGGCTTGAGGAACATGCCTCCGCCGTCCTCGCCCTTGAAGTAGACGAGGCCCAGCGAGAGGGACGCGATGAGGATGACCATGCCGAGGTAGACGAAGCCCTGGTCGTAGTTTGCATTCGCGATGATCACCTTGGAGCCGATGACGGCGCCGAGGTTGCCGCCCGCGCCGACCTGCGGGGGAGAAAGGGGCGGGGGTTGGGGGTTCGCTCACGCCTAGAGAGGGAGGGGGGTGGGGGGGTGGGGCGGCGCACCATGCCCGCCACGGCGCCGAGGGCGGGGCGCGAGACGTACGGCACGACACCGTAGGTCAGCCCCTCGGCCATCTGGACGCCGATCGAGAAGAAGATGATGACGGCCATCGTCTTGCCGAGCGCGCCGTCCGTGTTGCGCACGCAGTCGGGGTTCCACACGTCGCCGACCACGATCTTCTCCGCGTCGGTGGGGATCTTCTCCACGCCGAGGTCGGTGCCGTCTGCGCTGAAGGCGTGGCCCGTGCCGGGGTTGTCGATGCTCTTCGACGCGCACGGCGGGATCCAGGCCGCCTTGGTCTTGACCACGTAGGTCGTCGTCTCGGACCCGCCCTTGAACTCGACCGTGTGCTTGTAGGCGCCGTAGATGCCGTTTTGGTTCTCGCCGGGCCGCGCGCCGGCAATCTCCCCCGACGGGGAGAACTTCCACGGGTCCTTCTTGTCGAACTTGGGCTTGCAGAAGTCTCCGTCGCCGCCAAAGAGGGGGCCCTCGTACCCGCCGTAGCAATGGAAGGTCACCTCTGGCGTCACGTTGTAGATGTTTTCAAAGACGCTGGCCGGGTACTTGCTCGCCTGGCCCCTCTCCATGCGGACCGGGCCGGGCATGTTGACCGTGAGGAGGCCGAGGGTGAGGCACATGAAGCCCTGGAAGACCTGCACGACGAAGAGCGACCAGACGCGGCCGCGGATCCCGAACTTCTTCATGGTCCAATCCGAGAGAAGTCTGGGGGCGGCGCGGCGCGGGGTGAGCGGCTTGCTGGAACCGGGATGGCGAGGAGTACAGGGGCAAACGGTGTCTCGGCTGGTCTCGGAGGCGTGTCGCACCCGCCCCACGAGCGCGCAAAGAGGTTCATCAGGCCGAAGCATGCGCCGAGCACGCCGGCGAGGGACTTTGAGAGGTCGTAGTACTCGTAAAAGTAGAGCACCGCCTTGTTGTTCATCGTCAGCTCGACGCCGAAGCACGTCGCGTAGCAAATCATGAGCGGGATGGTGTTGATGTTGCAGGCGGCGATGAGGAAGACGAGGGAGCCGTTGCCCTTCTGCTTGGCGCCCGACATCTCCAGCTCCTTATAGTTGCCGTCGGGCAGGTCGCGTCCTTTCATGACGAGGAGGGTGGCGAGGATGATCATCGCGGCCGGCACAATCATGCACAGGCGCCACGCCGTGTCCTGGTCGGTCACCTGCCGGAGGGAAGGGGGGAGGGGGGGGGTAAGGGAAGGGGGGGGGGTAAGGGAAGGGGCGGGAGGGGGGGGGGGTAAGGGGAGGGGAGGGGGGTAAGGGGAGGGGAGGGAGGAGGGGGGGGAGGGGTCGATGGGAGGCGCGGCTCGCCTTGAGAAAGCCCACCATGATTTGCGGCATGACGAGCAGGGTGACGCCGCCGCCGAGGTTGCCCCAGCCGCCGGCGGTGGCGTTGACGGTCCCGACGATGCTCTTGGTGAACATCTGCCGGGGGGGAAAAGGGGCCCCCGGGCCTTTAAGGGGGGGCCGGGGGCGGGGGGCGGGGGGAGGGGGGGGTTGAGCAGCGTGGAGGGGCAGAGAGAGGCGGGCAGAGAGAGTCGGGCAGAGGCGAGGGCATCGCGCGACCTGCGAGCACCAGACTTGGCAGGTGACGAAGGAGGCGAGCGAGAGGCCGATGAGCGCGCGGCCGGCGATGAAGGCATTGGCGTTCTGCGCGGTCGCGAGGACGACGAGGCCGGGCAGCGCCGTGAAGAGGAGGATGCCCATGGTCCTGCGGCGGGCCGAGGCAGCATGCGTAAGGGAGGGCGTGGGATTGAGGCGAGGCGGGAGGGAGGCGAGTGGAGGAAAGGCGGAAGGGGGAGGAAGCGGACGGAGGAAGGGGCGGTTGGGGGACACGAGAGGGGCGCGGAGGCTGAGTAGCCCGAGGAGGAGAGAGGGAGAGGAGGAGGGGAGGGCGGCGGACTTGCGTGCTCCAAACTTGTCGCAGAGCGGGCCGGCGAGGAAACGCATCGCGACGGTCGTGCCGACGGCGGCGGCGCCCGCAGAGGAGAGCTCGTCCGGCGTGAGGCCCAGCCCGCCCTCCGACTCGTCCTCCTTGATCCACGTTAGGAGTGCCGCCGGCGCAAAGACGGCGAAAAACGTGCAGAAGAAGCCGAAGGTGGCCGCCCAGAAGGCGTACATGTGCGGCTGCACGGGCAGGCGAAAGAGCTTCACCGCGAATGCCGTGGCCTTGTGCTCGGCGTCCACAGGCAAATCGAAGCTACAGAGGGAGGCGGCGGCGTGGGCGAGGTGGAGGGCGGCGGCGGCGTGAGCGGCGGCGGCGGCGGTGTGGGCGAGGTGGAGGGCGGCGGAGGCGTGGGCGAGGTGGAGGGCGGCGGCGGCGTGAGCGGCGACGGCGGCGGTGTACAACAAGGTGGATTCGGTGAGATGCGGGCGCGTTTCGCTCTCGCGCAGTGCGCGGCGCGCCTGCGGCCAAAGATGTCCTTTTGCCCGGAGGAGTTGACGCCAAGCTTCTCGAGCTGGCTGTGGAGGCTTTTGATCTGGACCTCGAGCTCCTCCTGCCTCTTTCCCGAGGCCATTGCGAAAGGAGGTTTGCTACGGCCCTTGAGAGTGTCTCGCTATGGTTCCCGGAGACCTGCTCCGAGATAGATGCAAGATTTCACACGTTCCCCTTCTCACAGCGTCCCAAAAAAGTTCGCCGAGGCGTCCCAAGAGATTCCTGAGCGTCTCAGAGGAGACGCGTCTCAGTGGGGTTGTAGAGAGAGTTCCTGACGGCCGACGGATTGGCTGTGGCAGCTGGTGGCTGCCTGGGTGGTTTGTTTGCTGCCATGTGCATCGAGTTCTAGCGGTGGTGCCTCGAGGTGGCGTGTGAGAGAGATTTTTAGCAATACCAAACAACTCTAACACTCACACATCATTTGGGGCCTGGAGCCCTGTTCACGCGCGCGCGAGACGTGCAGACAGGGTTGCCAGGTGAGAGCGAATGGCGCGGTTCACGCCTCGCACAACAGAGAGAGAGAGAGATGCGCTCTGCATGGTGGGACATAAAAGAGAGCGAGTACTTGGGCGAGTAGGCCGTGCGGTCGACGCTGCCGCGTGCGACTTTGCGCGCGAGGCGGCGCAGCTTGAGAACGGCGGTGGGCGAGAAGCCGCCGCCGAACGTCTCGTGGAGCAGCAGGTTGAAGTTGTTGCGCTTGACAAAGATCGCGTCGTGGTAGAAACCGCGATGCGCCTTGACGTAGCCGTGGCCGTTCTTGTGGGAGAAGGGTTGGCCGGGCCGCGCGCCTTGCAGCCCATGTTCAGGCGGCGAGCCTTCTCCTCGGTGCTGCCGAAGGCGTAGGAGTGGCCAACGGAGGCGGGTGTGCCGCCGCTCGAGGCGTTGCCAACGCCCGTCGAGGAGGTCTTGAGGAGGGGCGTCCAGAGCTTGACTTCATTCACCTCATCGCATCCTCCCGGGCCAGCGTGGGGTTCCGCGAGGTCGACCTTGTACCCCTCGTTGTACTGCCGGGTGAGCTCTGGTTTCTCCTTGTCACCGTGCACGACCGGCGCGTTGGCCGGGGCGCGCATCGCGTCCGCCCAGGCGGCGAGGACGCCGTCGTGGGGCCGCCGGTGGTGGGCCTTGTTGTAAAGGTAGTCGCCGAAGAAATCGACTGGGATGCCCCGCTCGAGCGCGACCCGAAGGGTGGGAAGCGCCGCGGAGAGCCAAAGGCCGAGCTTCCGCTGGAGCTCGTCCTGGAGGGTGTCGGAGGAGAGGGCGGTGGCGTACGTACCGTCGACACGGACATCGAAGGCCTTGCCCGCGAAAGGCGTTGAGGCGGAGATGAGGCGCGCGGCTTCGCGGTTGCTGACGGCGCTGTCTCCGAGGGACGGGTTGTTGTTGACGGCGCTGTCTCCGAGGGACGGGTTGTTCTTGACGTGCACATCCCGCGCCTTGACGAGCTCCTGGTGCGCGAACCAGTCCTTGTGATTCTTGATGGCAGCGAGCGCCCGCGGCCGCGGGTACGTGGATTTGCATAAGTGTTTGTTCTGAGTCAGTGTTCATTCATTCACGCGGAGAAGTCTCCGTGAAGACTAGCAGGAGGGATGAAGACCCTTCGTATGAGAAGAGGCTCCTCAGCGAGTGCCTGAGGTAAAGAGTAACCTCAGAGGTTGGCTGACTGCGGTGGAGGGAAATAGTGCTTCTCGGGTCCGTTGGCCTCTTTTGTAGGGAAGAATTTTGATACCCGTCAAGACGCCTGCTGGGGGCAGCTTCGCGATGAAGCCGTCTGCTCCCCACTTGTCAACAGCAGGCGCTGGCGCCATCAACGTATCAACGTTCGACGAGGAGAGAAGGAGGTGCTGGCGACGCGAACAAGCTGGCGTCAGCTTTGCGTCTGAGTGAGGACCTTTCTCCGAGGGAGGCTCTGCAACTCGAAAGGGGTCGCCCAATGACGGTCACCCCGTCGGTGTCGCAAGATCCAGTGTCGCAAGGCATTCATTTGCTCCCGGGCATATGGACGACGACCAGCGACCCTGGAGCGTACACGACGGCTGCTTCTTCACCGAGCACGTCCGACGTGCGGCTGGCCAGTACGCCCCCAACGAGAAAACGCGCGCCGCAAACGCAGACGCAAACGCAAACGGAGGCACGTCATTCACCCGGCCCCCGCCCCCATCAGGCTGGTTGCCGCTGCTTCGAGAGCGAGGCCTGCGCACCCCAGGCAAGGGAGGCCTGCTCGTGCGGCGCGGCGCGCGGATTTGTCCGCCGCCCAGATTGTGCGCTCGCAGTGGCTGATCGACGGCGTGGCTCCCAGCGTCGAGCGTGGGGCTTGCGACAAGTCAGCCCACGGCGGCAGTATATTTTGGGCGCTCCGCGACAAGTCGACCCGGGCGCGGCTGGCCAGCACGGCGGCGGTGACCTCCGCCGATCAGCCTGACGACGATCAACAGCTCGTCGGAAGGTGTGGCGAGTGCTCCGCTCGGCGACGCCTCGTCCCGCGAGAAGCACTCGACGACCAGCCCCGAGCACCGCCGGGGCGGAGCTGCGCTCTCTGCGGCGCGCCACCGCCGGGGCGGGGCTGCGCTCTCTGCGGCGCGCCGGCGCCTCCGTCGCTCTCGGCGGCGGCAAACGCGGGCAACTTGTGCGCCGTGCGAGCCTGGCTTTGGCTGGGCGGCTCCCCCGACGCCGCCGCCGAAGGACGCACCCTGCTGCACCTCGCCGCCGCGCGGGACCACGCCGCCCTGGCGCTGCTGCTCATCTCCGCCGGCGCGAGCCTCGAGGCGACGCAGTCGCAGGGCTGCACGCCGCTCGCGCTCGCCGCGCTGGCGGGGGCGGAGGCTGTGCTGCGTGTGCTGCTGCGTGCCGGGGCCGACCCAAACACGAGCACGTCGCACGGCATCTCCGCGCTCGCCCTCGCCTCGCACCGCGGCCACTTTGCCTGCGCGAGGCACCTCTGCAACGCCGGCGCACGCAACGACGTTCGGGACATGCGCGGACAGCCGGCGATGCACTATGCAAAGTCGCCGGCGGCGATGATGCTGCTCAGGCGCAACCAAAAGGCGGCCAAGGAGGCGGCCAAGGAGGCGGCTAAGGCGGCCAAGGCAGCGTCCTGGGTCTGGGCCAAATGAATCGCGCCCCCTGTTACGTGCACAAGATATAGTATCGATCGATGTGTATGACCGTGTGTGTTTCTCGAGCGTACGGCTGCTCTCTCTACGTGACCTCGTGACCGTACTTCGCTCGTCGGGCTCGGCCTTGTGCCTCTCTACTTTTTGTGTGGATGTCGTGTCCTTCTTTCCAAACATATATTCGTGAACAAATGGGTGTCTCCTCATTTAGCAAGCTATAGCTTTGAGCTATTAAACAGAGCAGAGAGCAATGAGCATGCTCAGGACACACAGGGGAGGCGTCTCGTCGAGCACAAACCCCTCTGGCAGGCCCTTTTGCCAGCCTTTTGCGCTTGGGCGGCCCGCGCGGAGAGGGGACGGGGCGGTACAGGGGCGCAGGGTAACTTCTCTGGAAAAGACACAGAGACAGCATCTCGTATATGTGCATACGCGGCACTTTGCCTGTGTCTGAGTGAGTCTGTCAGTAAACGCGGGTTCTAGTGATCTGTGATCTGTAAGGGTCCGCCCGCAGGCGCATTTTGATTTGTATACCGAGGCGGTGCCCGGTGCCGAGCGCAGGCAGAGCCCACAGGTCGGACCTTAAGACAGCGTTGTAGATCCCTGGGCGAGGGTGGTGGAGAGGGCGGTCCGGCGGCGGAGCACCCACCTCCTCCCGGCGTGCCGGGAGGCAGGATGTCATCCCCCGTGATCCAGACTGCCCATGGGGCTGACTGTCGGCGCCAAACCACCTCCCACCGAGGCGGGCAGGTTCCACGCGTTCCCAGACAGCCCCATTGGAGGTAGGCCGCTCGTCTAGCCAATCGGCCTTAAGCGAGCGGCCTGGCCGTTGGAATGGCCGAGAGTGTCGGCCGGCCGTTCGGTCTCTTCCCCGGGGGGGGCCTCAATGACCTAGTTGCCCGGCCGAGGAGGGGAGGACGACTGTCTCCGACGGCGAACCTCAGTTACGAGCCGCCCTCCCCTCGAACGCGAGGCCAGCGCACTTGGGGCCGAGCCCCAGCGTGCACCGCCCCACACGCCTCACGCGGCCTCTGGCTGGAGCGGGATCGCAAGCGAGTCCCCCTGGCCGGCACGCGTCTTCCGAGAGAGGAGCGGGAGCGAGGGACCTTCTTAGTTGTCCGGCATGCAGACGCATGCACGGCCGTTCAGAAACTTTCCCAGCCGTTGGAATGGCTGCGCTCCCGCCCCTCACCGGGCCGAACGGGTATAGTAGGCGTTGGCGCCGAGGAGGGAGGAGTCGCCGCGGAAGGACGGGTAGTCGCCGGTCATGCGGGGGGAGGAGGAGTCGGCGAGCAGCAGGGAGGGAGAAATGCCTGAGAGGGTGGGGAGGGAGGCGTGAGGCGCGAGGTGAGGGGCGTGGGGGCGCGGGGCACGGGGAGTGCGTGGGACGCGCGGCGTGAGGCGCAGGGCGTTGGGCGGGAGGGCGCGGGGGCAAGGAGTTGTGTGTGTGTGTCTGTATGTGTGTGTGTGTGGTGTGTGTTTGTTTGTTTGTGTGAGGGCAGGGCAAGGCAGGGCGGCGGCGAGCGGCGGGCGGCGTCGGCGAGATCGGCGACGAAGAGAGGCGATGGTGACGTACACGGCGGCAGTGTTCACGGCAGCAGCGCCGACGGCGGCCCCGCGCAGCGGCGGCGGCGCCCTGAGTGAGGCAGACTGCCCTGCACAGCCTGCTGGGCACGCTCCCGACGAGCGGCGCGCCATGCGGGCCCGCCGCGGGCGACGCGGGCGGCGGCGACCCCCCCTCCATATTGGGCCACATTGGGTGAAGCCCAGGACCAGGAACAGCCTGAGACCAACTCATCGGTTGTCATTGCTGTCGCCGCGGCTTGTTGCTGCTTTGCCATCCTGTTGGTCATACTCGTGGTCGTGTACATACGCCACTGCAAGAGGCGTGGAAGCAATGGTGCAGGCGCTGCTGAGCTCACTGCGGCAACAAGTAGCGCCAACGTCAAGGTGAATGTCGGCAATTGATGGTGCACGAGGCGGCCCGCGCTACGGCCCTGGTGCTGAGGTAGGCGAGGGCGTAGCCGCAAGCAGGAAGGCGACACTACATCTCACATAAAGCCGTACGTCGCTCGTCGGGCTCGGCCCAACTTCGTGTGCCTCTCTACTTTTTGTGTGGATGTCGTGTCCTTCTTTCCAAACATACATTCGTGAACAAATGGGTGTCGTCTTTACGGCTTTCTAGGCGCTAAAGTTTAGCCCGCTCTCCCCCCTCACCCCTGGCCATGCCCCTCCCCGCGCACATGCCGCGCCGCGAGCGCGGAGCCGATCCGTCCTGAGGTGGGCAGCCCACCCGCGGCCGCGGCCGCCCTCCTCGCCTCTTGCGAGGCGCGCCGGCGCTCTCTGTTTCGCTCCCGCACCTGCGCCACAAACTTCTCGCGCTGCCAGAACGGCTTTTGCAGCTCGCGCCACTTCTTCTTGGGCATCTTGACGAAGCGTGAGCTCGCGCCCTCCGCGCGCGCGAGGGCGTTGCGCCGGCGCCGGCGCGGCGGGTCCGCCTTGAAGACGAGCCGCAGCGGCGTCGCGTCGAAGGGCCAGTGGGAGCGAAGAGTGCGCTCGACCCAGCGCACCACGGAGGGGTGCATCTCGGCCTGCGGGGCGGCGGTGGGCCGGGGGGGGGGGGGGGGGGCATGGGGGGCGAGGGCTGAGGCGAGGGCTGAGGCGAGGGCTGGGGCGAGGGCGGAGGCGAGGGCTGGGGCGAGAGCGATGCGGCGGCGTGTGAGGAGGCACCTGCCGGTTCATGCGGAAGACGAAGGTCGGGCTCTCCGTCGCGTGCTGGGTCGCGTACTGCATCTTGAGGCGGGCGCCGCGCACGACGGGGAGAGGCCGCAGCAGCTGCGCCCTCGCGAAGAGCTCGTTGAGCCGCCGCTTCGGCACCTTGGTGCGCCGCCACGCGAGCGCACTCGCCGCCGTGTCGAGGGCCTCGTCGACGCCGGCGCCGGTGAGAGCCGACGCGTGCAGCACGGGCGCGTAGTCGAGCCAAGGCATGCGTTCGCGCACGCTGTCGGAAAAGGCGCGGCGAGCCGCCGCGTCGAGCCGGTCCGCCTGCGGGAGATTGGCCGAGATTGAGATTGGCCGAGATCGGCCGAGCCGAGATCGGCCGGGAGGGGATGAGGAGAGGTGAGCCGAGATGCACTGCCGATGAGTTGTGCACTCGAGGTGAGCGGAGGGCTTGCCGCCTTGTTGGCGACGATGACACACGACTTTTGCTGCTCGGTGACGAGGCCGGCGATGGCGAGGTCGGCGCGCGTGAGTCCCTGGTAGGCGTCGAGGAGGAGGAGCGCCACGTGGCACTGGCTGATGGCAACCCTCGCCGCCGCCACCGCCGCTCGGTCGAGCTCCTCGCGCTCCTCGCCGCCCGCCGCCTGTCTGCAGCAGGAGGCGTGGAGAGGCGCTCCTCACGCCGCGCTCTTCACACCGCCCGCGCAGGGCTGTTTGGCCGCCTGGCGCCGGATGCCCGCCGTGTCGATCAGCAGCAGCTTCTCGCCGCGCCACTCGTACTCACACGCCACCGAGTCGCGCGTGGTGCCGGCGACGGGGTTGACTACCATCCGCTCCTGACCGAGTAGCGCGTTGAGCAGCGACGACTTGCCGACGTTCGGCCGCCCGACCACCGCCACCTTGCCCACCGCGTCCTCCGCCGCCCAGCCCGGCACCGCGCCGCCCCGGTGAGCAAGGCCGCCCGCCGCCGCGCCGAGCCGCGCGGGAGGGGGGGAGGCGGCCTCGCCACCGTCCGATCCGAGCCGCGCGCCGAGCCCCATCCCCTCCTCCTCCTCCTCCTCCTCCTCCTCCTCCCACACCTCCTCCTCTTCCCACCCCTCCTCCTCTTCCCACCCCTCCTCCTTCCACCCCTCCACCTCCCGCCCCTCCACCTCCTCCTCCCGCCCTTCTGCTGCACTCCGCGCAGCGCCTCCAAACCTCGCCCCTCCGCCGCCCCCGTCTCCCCCCTCTCCGCCCCCGCCTCCGCCCTCCAGAGCCGCGAGCCCGCCTCCCCGCGCCGCCTGCCGGCCAGCCGCGCCGCCCGCCAGCGCCAGCGCAGCCGCCGCACGTGAGGCGTCGAGGCGGCCCTCCTCCCACCTGGCGGAAAGGGTACAAGGGGAGGGTGAGACGCACGCCTCGACACGCTGGCGTAGAGCGAGGAGCCAGTGGCAAGCCCCCGCATCTCCCACGCAACGCCCACGCCCTGCGTCAGGCCCCGAGGCTGCTCCGCCCCGCCCAGTGCTACCTCCGCCACCCCGGTGCTTTCGGCCTCGCGCCTCTGCATCGCCGCGACGACGTCGTCGAGCAGCTCGGCGCTGCCCACGCCGTGCAGCGCCGAGAGGAGGCGCGGCTCCCCGAGCCCGAGCGACCACAGCTCGTGCATCCCGTGCCGCGCCTCGCGCGAGTCGCACTTGTTTGCCGCCAGCAGCACCGCCCCAGCAGAGGGGTCGTGCACTGGCCTGCGCACGCGTCGTGGGCGTGTCGTGGGCGTGTCGTGGACGTGTCGTGGACGTGTCGGGGGGTACGCGCTTTGGCGGCGCGCTGGGGAGACGCAGAGGCGAGGGATCGTAAAGCACCGCGCGCATACACTTCATTCAGTTGGACGAACGAGGCAGAGCGCGTCTCGCCCAGTGAGGCGGAAGTGTCTCGGAAGTGTCTCGGAAGTGTCTCGGAAGTGTCTCACCTCAGCCGCCGCAGCAGCGAGGCGAGCCGCTCCTCCGCCGCGCCTGCGCCCGCCTTTGCATCCACCAGCAGCAGCACCTGCGGACACGCCGGAGGTGCATGCCATCTGGAACGGGCGGCGAGGGACACAGGCTTGTCTTGGAAGTGCTTTGCGCGCCACCGCCGCCTCCTTCACCGCCACCGCCACCTGCGCCTCGACTGCGGCCGCGAGCCGCCGCTGCGCCGCCGCCGCCTCCACCTCGCTGAGCTGCCAGCCGCCCGGTGGCGGAGGCGACGCCGCCTCGCCGTCGCCACGCGCCACCTCCTCTCCATGCGGGGCCCGCCGCTGCTGCCGCCTGCCTGCGCCGCGCCTGCCGCTGTCCGCCTGCTGCTGCCGGAGAGGCCAGAGGTCTTCGATGCCGCCCGTGTCAACCACGCGGAAGCGATAGCCCAGCCACTCGCTCTCTCCCTCCATCCTGTCGCGGGTTGTGCCGGCCGTAGGCGCCACTAGCGCGCGAGGCCGGAACGAACGCGCGCTAAGCTCTGTGCGGACGAGCCGGTTGTACAGCGTCGACTTGCCTGCGTTTGGGGCGCCGACGATCGCGAGCAGCGGCAGCGAACCGGCGGCGGCGGCGTCCAGGCTGGCAGTGCACAGGCGTCGCTTCGTGCGGGTTAGCAGCATTGAGAGTAAGCAAAAGAATTACGAGCGGCTCACAGGCCATGGCTTTAGATGTGCAGGGGGGGTACCGAGCAGTGTGCGGCCGCTCCAAGTTCAGGGCACGTGAAACAAAAAAGGCGCTCAACGAATTTCTTTTTGCGGTGTGGTACCCGCGTTAGTGCCAGTGCGCGCCAGTCGGGTGCCCAGTGTTGTGCGAGGGAGGGGTTAAATTCTTTTTGCGGGCGCGGCCAGAGTCCCTGCCCAAAGGAAAAAAGAAAGAGAAAAAGGCATGCGGGCCCGCTGTCCGAACACAACTCGGCCAGCAGAGATCTCCAGGAGAGATGGGCGACGCACGAACCCCGAGGGACAGTGCGCACCTCGCCCCGCGCACTTGTTTTTCTTTGTTCTCGCCGACGCATTGATTGGCGAGCTGCCACCGCGTCCACATCAAGCGCCAAGTCCCGTGACACATGTCGCACGCCGCGCTCCAGCAGCAGCAGGAGCTCACTGGCCTGATGCGGGCCATCGTTGGCCGTCTCGACGCCATTGATGCCCGGATCGACGGCCTCGCCACCACCGCTGCGGTCGAGGCGCTCGGCGAGCGGATCGACGACTGCACGCAGGCGCTCCAGCGCTCGCCGCGCTCGCCTCGATCGCCACGGGGCGACGCCGCCCAATCGCCAGCCGCGCTCGACGACGCGACTGCCGCCCGCGCCCGCGCCCGCGCCCGTGCCGGAGCAGCGGTCGGCCTTCTCGTCCTGGCGGGGCTGCTGCACCGGCGAGCGCGTCGCCGACTCAATGGCATGGTGCGCCGCCTCCCGCCGCGGACGCTGCTGCTCGTCAATCTCCTCGCGGCGCTGCTGCTCGGCGTCTCGGGTCTCGCCGACGCTCTGCGGGCGAGCTTGAGCGAGGTGCCTCTGAGAGAGCAGTCACCTCCACCCTCCAGTAGACGGGCACCTGTCTGCCTGCTTAAGGACGGATAGAGCGGTGGCCGACCTCCGCGCTCTTCACCCACCTCGGAGCGTGCGTCGTGTCGCCTATGACCGTGCGGCCTGCCTGCAGGTGCCTCTGGTCGGCGGCTTGCTCTCGCGCAAGGCGCCGCTGCCGAGCCTGCTCGGCGACGGAGCCTCCCGCGAGGCGGCGGTGGCGTGTGTCGGCGTCACGGCGGCGCTGATCCCGTGGCGGCTTGGCCTCACCCTGGTGTAAAGAAAGAAAGAAAACACACCAACGAGGGATGGGAGAGGAGGGCGCACGCCGCGTTCTTCCGCCCACTCTAGAGTCTCGTCTCTCGACTCTCGTCATTCTCTCTCGCTCCTGCTGTTTCAGCCTCTGACTCATCGCTCTCTCCTCGGCCTCGAGCCCTCGACCCTCGTTCTGCGACAACGCCGTCTCCCGAAGTGCCGATCCCTTGATAACCGATGTTTTGGCCGCGGTCCGCTCGGCTTCCCTGACTGTTGTAGCTGTGGTGTCGTCCGTCCTTTCGCGCCGGCGCCTAAGAAGATCTCGACGATGTCACGGCTGACTCACGCCCGGCTCCCCTCTCCCGCCACCCTCGATCAGCTCGGCTTCTCTCGCCTCTCGCCTCTCGGTTCCCGCTCTCGGCGTAAAACGCGGTATGCCCCTAACAAAAAAATGCCGTTTCGCTACGAAATATCGGAATGTTTTCTTTCTTTCTTTCATCAGTGACGCAAATGCCTGACGATGACACCGACGACACAGCTCCTGAGCTGCTGCTTCTTCCATGCGACTGCATCATCGCTATTCTCACCCGGCTAGAGCCGGCCCCGCCGGCCCAGGCGACGCAGCTCGCTCGGCTAAGCGCGACGTGCCGCGCGCTGCGCCGTCTCGCAAAGCTGGCAGCGGTGCTGCTCATTCGTACTCACCTGGGTGCGGCACAGCGCGAGCTAGCGCGGCTGCACGCGGCGCTCGAGGAGGAGGCTGAGGGTGGCGACGACGAGGAGGGCTGCTCGCTCACTCTCGGGCTGGATGGCGACGGTGACAGCTCACTCAGCGCTCCTAAGAACCCGCTCTTTGCCCTCTGGAGCCAGATGCCGCTGCTGCCGCTGCGGTGCGAGCTGCTGCACAATTGCGTGACGCGGCTGGACGACGCGGACGCGGCCGCCGTGCGGGCGTGCGGCCTCTCCCCGACCATGAGCGCCTCTGGTGCGCTCCTCCTCAAGACTGCGGCAAGCCTGTGGGGCGCCGGAACCTCACCCCGTGATCCCTACCCCCTAGGGACGCTCCGCATCGCCTTGCCGCGCGGGTCCGATCAGCGGCCTTCGTACGTGTGGCCACTTCCCCTCTCCGAGGGCCTCCACTCGCCCTCCTCCTCCGCCTCTGCGCCCGGCTCCTCACCCTCGCCCTCCTCGCGCCGCGCCGCCCTCCGCCTCGTCTCTCGGCTTGGCCTGTCGAGTCACCCCGGCCTCCTCGCCAGGCGCTTGCTACTCTACTCTACTCTACTCTACTCTACTCTACTCTACTCTACTCTACTCTACTCTACTCTACTCTACTCTACTCTACTCTACTCTCTCTCTCTCTCTCTCTCTCTCTCTCTCTCTCTCTCTCTCTCTCTCTCTCCCTCTCCCTCCCTCCCTCCCTCCCTCCCTCCCTTCCTCCCCTCCCTCCCTCCCTCCCTCACTGCCATCAGCCACAGAGCCGACCACTCTCTCGGACCATCTCGCCAACCCCTCGCAAGGCACATACCTGCGGGCCGTCAACCCTGACCCTAACCCTAGCCCTGACCCTAACCCTAGCCCCGACCCTGACCCTGACCCTATCTCTAACCCTAACCCTAGCTCTGACCCTAACCCTAACCCTAACCCTGACCCCGACCCTAACTCCTCGTCAGGCACATGCCCGCGGGGCGCCACGCCGCCGTGTGCCCCTGCTGCCTCCGCTACCGGAGGCGCTGCCACGTGCAGCACGCCGTGTGGCGACCCGACGCCCTCGACGCGTCGATGCTGCCGCTGCCGGCGGAGGCTGTGGCGGCGGCGCCTCCGTCGCTACGGCGCGGGCGGCACTCGTCTCGCGACCTCGAGGAGTTCACGCCCGAAGAGATCGAGTCGCTCACGCGCGCGCACGAGCTGTCTGTGGCGCTCAAGTGCCGCTGCGACGGCGGCGGCCAGCTAGGCGCATACATCGGGGCCCCTCCCTATCACGGCCCGCACCACTGAGACGCTCAATGGCGGAGCGACAGCATCGCGCGGGGCATGTGCTGCCATCCAGTCGACTGCGCTGCTGTCTGCTCGCTCTCTTTCGTGACATTGAATATATGTATGTAAAAAGGAGAGGGCAAGAATTTCGTCAGGGAGGGGGAACTGGAAACGAATCGGAAACGAATCGGAACCCGAAAACGCATATGAGCAAGAACGTCGAATATAGGAACGAGATGCAGATGGACAGGGACGTCCGATCGGACGCAATCGCAGTTCGTACGATTCTCGGGTCCGAGGGCAGCCTCAACTGGAGTAGGGAGATTTGGATTTTGGTCAAACAAACGCCTGCTGGGGGCAGCTTCGCGGAGGTGTTCCGGAAGCCAGATGATCCCACTTGTCAACAGCAGGCGCCAGCGCCAATCATGTACATATACGCTATGGAGAAGTTTGTTCGAGACCTCGGGAGCGGCCGGCTATTCACACCTCGGCAGTGTGGGAAGGGCAGGGCAGGGCAGTGTGGGTTTCACACCCGGGGCAGGTAGGGGATCGGGCAGGGCAGGGCAGGGCAGTTGTGCGGCAGTACGCGGGCAGGGCAGTACGGCAGGTCAGGTCAGGTCAGTTGGGGTCATAATTGCAGGGCTGAAATTCGGGATCTCAGGTGGTGAAAAAAAAGGGGAGACAATTGCTGTGAACATGGAATTTGAATAACAATCTCAATGAGATGTGTGAAGAGGACGGCCGATCGACGAATTACATCTGAGTAATGTGCTCCATCATGTGACATCTCATGCGCGCAAGGTGTGAGAGCTGAGACGCGACGCCTCCCCGAGACGCGAGACCGAGAGCGCGGGGGCGGTACTGTATCTCCTGTGGTCTCTCTGTTTTCGGCGCGAAATGTGTCTATATGTTGGCTATGATGTCTCGCGCGAGACGACCCGGGAGAACTGACACTCACACGTCAATCTCGTCACGCAGCTCTGCACACGCCGTCTGTGAAACCCACGATGTCTATGTCTCACTACACCCAAGCTACAGGTGGCCACGATCACACCTCGTGCACGGCACGCAAGCAAACGCGCGTAGTGCGAGGAGCACCCGCACGCCACCGTGCGCGCCGACCCTCCTGCTTCTACGCCGCTGCCGCCGCCATAAACTTGTGCGGCATGTCTGTGTTGACAAAGGTCACACCGCTCTGCACCAGATTGATCGCGCTGTTCACGTCGTCCGGGTCTGTGCTGTATCCCCACACGCCCACCGTGTAGGAGGCGCTCAGTTGCCGGAGGACGGCGCCGCCCGCCAGCTCGCCTCGTCCTCGTGCTGCCGCTTCGAGAGCTTGTTGCGCACCTTGTCCTTCATCTGGTAGAACAGCCGTTTGACCGCGTTGCACCACCCGCCGAAGGTTTCGAACAGGTACATCTGCACGTCGGTGTCCGAGCGCGAGAGGGCGTGCGCGTAGTCCGCCTTCTTGTACGCCACATAGCCGCCGCCGTCGCTCGGCCTGAAGTCGCCGTCCCCGACAGCGCCGCGCTGCTCGAGGCCGAAGACGTCCGCGCTCGTGCCGGGCTCGGTGTTGCCGAGGCCGACGAAAGCGCCTCGCTGGCCGACGTCCTCCGGGTTGGAGGAGAGCGAGTCCTTGAACTTGACGTCGCCGACGAGGCGCGAGCGCGAGCGGCCGGCGCCCGCCACCGAGACGTCGGGCCGGTAGTCGTTAGAGTAGCCGAGGTGGTCCCGCGGCTCCACCTCGACGAGCATGCCCCACACGCTCCGCATGACCTTGGCCAGGGCGGCGAGGAGGCTGTTGTGGCGGCCGCAGTGCCCGAGGCGGCCGATGTTGCTGGCCGCGTCGCCCAGTGGGTCCTGCACCTTGCCGCCGCGCGCCGAGCAGGTCGGCGCGCCCCGCGCGAGCGCCTCGTCAAGTGGTAGCCCGAGGCGCCGCTGGACGGCGATGCGCAGCGCCCACGTCGGGATACGAAAGTCGCGGCGCGAGGGGACGGCGTTGAGGAAGGCGCCCGCCTGGTACTGGCTGACGGCGATGAAGCGCACCGCCTCCCGCCTAGCCACGCCCGGTAGCTGCAACGCATTCCAAAAGCCGAGCCATGCTGCATGATGAATGATCTGGGAGTAGCGACGCTGTGCGCTTTGTAGATGCTCACTGCCAGAATCGAAGCGGTTTCTTGTTCGACGTGTCCTCTCTCGACTGCGACAAGGCCGCAGTCCCATAAATGCACAACGTCAAGAAGAAGCACCTGTCCGCGGAGCAAGCTGCGGCCAAGCGGCTCGAGAACGTCCAGCGCGCCGCCAGCTACTCCGCGCTCTCGCGCGCCGCCTTTGCGCGCCGCGCAGCCGGCCTCTGGGATGCGGCGTCACTCGAGGCGGCCGCCAGGGTGCTCGAGGTGAACCCTGACATGGCGCCGATCTGGAACTTCCGGCGCGAGTGTCTGCAGTCCCTCCACGGCGCCTCGGTGCCGCCCGACGCCGCCGCCGAACCGGCAGGCGCCGTGCGGGCGGCTTGCGAGGCGGAGCTTGCGCTGACACAGGCGTGCCTCGGCGCGAACCCAAAGTCGTACCCGGTGTGGTACCATCGCACCTGGGTGCTCACCTGGGGCGGCTGCGGCTGGGCCTACGCGCGCGAGCTCAAGCTGACCACCAAGCTCCTTAGCCTCGATGAGCGGAACTTTCACTGCTGGACGCACCGCCGCTTTGTCGTGCAGCTGTCCAAGGTGACCGCCGAGGCGGAGCTGCGCTTCACCACCCAGAAGGTCGAGGCCAACTTCTCAAATTACTCCGCGTGGCACTACCGGTCAAAGCTGCTGCCCGCGATGCACGCGGCGGCCGACCCCGCCGCCACCGCCGCAGCGTCGGGGGCGCTGCGCGCTGCTCTACTGGCGGAGCTCGAGCTGCTGCGCAACGCCTTCTTCACGGCGCCCGAGGACCAGTCCGCCTGGTTCTACCACCGCTGGGTCCTCTCCCGCCTGCGGCCAACCGGCGGCGGGTGCGGCGGTGGCAGTGGCGGGGGCGGGGGCGGGCAGGCGAGGGAGGACGCCTCCTCCGTCGCAGAGTGGGCGAGCCTGCTGCGCGGCGAGGCGGAGGTGCTGCGCGAGCTGAGAGACGTCGAGCCGGACGCAAAGTGGCCCCTCGCGGTCCGCTCAGCACACGACCTCGCACGGCCTTGAGTCGGAGGGTCGCTTAGCGTGATGGACTGTGCGTCGTGGTAGGCGCTCGCACACGCGCTCGCGCTGCTTGGCGAGGCGGGCGCTGCGACGGAGGCGGAGGCGGCCGAGCGGGAAGCGGCGCTCACCTCCCTCTGCGGGATCGACCCCGCCCGCCGCCGGTACTACGAGGCATCGCTGGCCGGCGGCGCCAGCGCGGAGCCAGAAGAGGCGGCGTGACGAGAGCGCGTTCGCGGCCGGCGCGACTCTCGCGGGTGTTTTACTCTTCAGCTTCGTTCTTTTGCCGCCTTGGAGTATGCTTATCCCTCATCCGAAAAATCGATTGCAATATGACACATCGTTCATGTACGGTGTATAAAGATTTCGTCAGGTGCGACGGCGTGGAACACCGCAGGAAATAGTCAGGAAACGTTGTTTGTGCATGTGATTGACTTTGACACTCCGTGTGTCTGTGCTGCGGTGCGTCGCCCGGTGTGGCTGTCCGAGGGGTCTCTCTGAGGATCAGAAAGTGGATCAGACACATACACAATGTGTGGTGTCATGTGCGTTCTTGCATAAGCATATCTTGGCCCGGCGGCTCCTTTTTACCCATCTCCTACCCAATGGCGCCAGGGCGCAGGGCGAGCTCGACACGAAACGACTTGACCGAGAGGGAGTGGCCGCCGCCGCCGCCTACAGGCGATGCACAATGCTCGCGACAAAAGCAACGCTTCTCGGCTTGGCCTCTCAAAGACCCTTGGGGGGGCGAGGAGGGGGCCTGCGTTTCGCAAAAAGGAGAGCGTGTCGCCAGCCTCCGCCTGCGAGACGATCGGGTGCGCGGCGTCGAGCTCGACCAGGCCGTCTTCCCACGCGTGTGGTGCCACGCCGAAGAGGGAGGTGTCCTCTGCCACCACCGCCTCTACCTCGTCGCGCGGCGGCCTGACATGCCGCACACACTCACACACTCACATGGTCGTTTCAGTGGGAGGTGATCTCCACTGGCAGCCGTCGCCTGCGCATGAGCCTGACCACGATGGTGCCTTTGCGATTGCCCCAGCCCTAGCGATTGATGGAAGGCTGATCCCTGGTTTGGATGAGTAGGGTGCACTCGGCTGGCGCAGGGCCACAACCTGGTCCTTCCAAACGAGGCTCATCTTCAGACCCGCCAGCGCGGCGGGGAGCGCAGGTGTTTGAAAGTAAGCCTCCGGCGCCCAGTGGCCGCCTTGCGGCCCTCTGAGGGTAAAGTCCGGCCCGGAGATGACGAGGGCTTGCCGCGGCGTTGTTTCCCGAAGGGCGCGGCAGGCCGACGCAAAGTGCGCTTGGTCTCGCCGTGTGTCGCAGAGCTCAGAGATGCGATTCAGGCAGAGTTCTGCGAGATCGAGAAGGTGTCGTGAATCATCCAACGCAACAAGTCCTGCATCTGGCTACTACGGGCGTGTGGAGCTTGCAGCTTCGCTCGCCGGCCGGGGCGGCTCAGCGGCGATTGCCCTTGTTTTTCTTTTTCTTTATTCTTGCCAACGACCTTTTGATTCTTTATCGTTCGGGCGGTTGCCGACTGCACTCCAAGTGCTCCAAGTGCTCGCCGCCAAGACGACAAAAAAACGACACGCACAAAAACAGCGATTTCGTTCTCGACATACTCTATACGATCGCACGTCATGCGGAAGCCAATGCTTCGGCAGCCCTTTCAACGTTCCCTTCGTACGTGTCGAGCATCGTGCGCATCTTTCGCTCGTCCGAGAAGCCCATACCGCGCAGCTGCACGAGGCCTGCTGCGAAGCGGCTCGTGGCACCGAGGCGCCCGAGGCGAAGCTCTCGCAAGATCTGCCGCACGCAGCCATCTATCGCGAGCTTCTCCTGCACCTCGACGGCCAAGCCGCGCCAGTACTCCTCCAGCTTGCGGCCCCGCTCGCCATCTACGATGCGCTTCCAGTCCGCAACGTCGATGTAGTGAGAGCGACTCGGGTTGAGGCTGCAGACTGGCACGTGCTGATGCGCGTCCCTGCCGCAGTCCTCGAGGCAAAAAGCACAGAAGCCCGCCTACGTTGTGTACTCCTCACTCGTGATCACATACTGTACCCGGTATCCAAGGTGCCCTCTATAGCCCGCCTTGCAGGTCGCGCGCGAGCAAGTGAGCGCAGCGCACCCCTCGAATGCGCCGAAACACTGCCCGCACCGAGGACACTTGAGCGCCATGATGTCCTCCTCGATATGGCGCCTCGCCTTGAGCGCCTTCCTCTCCACCTCTGACCGCGCCTCCCTCTCCGCCTCGCGCTGCTTGAACTCGGCCTCGATCGCCTCGCGCTGCTGGACCGCCACCGCGTCTCTGAGGTGCTTGCGGAGCGTCTCGGCAGAGAGCGCGTCCACGTGCCCCATCACCTCCTGCCAAGAGAAGCTGCCGGTGCAGCCGGTGTATCGCTTGTCGCAGCAAACGATCCGGTCGAACGCGTCCCCGCCAAGCGAGTCGGCCTGCGCCACGTGCGCCGCCATGCAGCCGTCGCAGGTAAAGTGCGCGGCGCCGGCGACAGGGCACACGAGGCCCTCATCGCGAGGGTAGGGGCAGTGGCACAAGAGACAGGTCCGCTGGTTGAGCTGCGCACTCAGCCGGTCTGCCACCTCCGCCGCTGTCGGCCGGTCTTGCTGCTCCGGCGAGAGCATCTGCCGTAGGAGCGCCGCTAGGTCCTCTCCTCCTCCGGGGTACGCCAGGGTGAGCTCGCACGGGCCGGATGAGCCGCCGCGCATTCGCTCGAGGTCGAGCTCGCCGGTGCCCGTCTTGGGGAGGCCACCGGCTCCGCACAGCAGCGCGTCGAAGAGCGTCACCCCGAGCGAGAAGATGTCCGACTTGAACGTCGGGCGCAGCTGCTCTGGGGCAAAGGGCGGCACGTACAACGGTGTGCCAATGCGCGTCGTCGTGTGAGACGAGAGGTTCGCGCTTCGGCTCAAGTCAAAGTCGCACAGCGCAGGCGCCGCGTCGGCCGCAGCGCTGTCGAAGACGATGTTCTCCGGCTTGAGGTCGCGGTGAATCAGGCCGTTTGAATGGAGGAAGCGGACAGCCTCCGCGATGCGCTGCGCTGCGGCGAGCTTCGAGCCCTCGTCCTTGCCGGCGGACCACTGCCGCATGTTGCCGCCCGCGTAGCGGCTGCGGCGCGGCGATGGCCTCGCAGTGGACGGCACGCGCGCATGAGGCGGGCAACCCGCCGAGGAGAGGAGAGGTGCGCGGTGCTATGCGTCGCTCTTCTCCGGCATGCCTGCTTCTCGGCGGCGTCGTACAGGATGGAGAGGCTGTAGAAGCCGGGCTGCTTCTGGCCCCAGGTGCCCAGCTCGCCGCCCTTTCTTACCAGAATAGCCATCTTAGCCGTCACTGCCGCTTTCGCTGACTCGTCGAGGAAGCAGAGAACGTCGACGTGACCAGATCTAGCGGCAAGTCGCGCAGGCGTATCGCCGTCCGCAGCCGCAGCCGTCAGCGCCTGTCTGCCGCACTGCTCGGCGAGGAAGCGGAGCGCGTCGACATGGCCATATTTAGCGGCCCAGTGCGCTGGCGTGCGGCCATTCGCAGCCGCAGCCGTCAGCACCTCGCTGCCGCACTGCTCGGCGAGGAAGCGGAGCACGTCGACATGGCCATTGAAAGCGGCCCAGTGCGCTGGCGTGTCGCCCCACGCATCCGCAGCCATCAGCGCCTCGCTGCCGCACTGCTCGGCGAGGACGCGGAGCGCATAGACCTGGCCATTGGCAGCGGCCTCGTGTGCCTGTTGGGCTTGTCGGGCCTTTTGCGCACTGTCCGCCATAGCGCGCGATGCGTCGGGCCATGGGACGTCCGTTGTCAACTGTTCGGATCCGAACAATGGGTAAAAAAAGTATTCAACAAAAAGAACTCGCACAGTAAAAAAGTAAGCACTCCGCGGTTTGCCTGTCGGCGATTTCTGACCTTATTTTTCTTTTTCTTCTTCCAACAGGCCAATCATCTTTCTTTGATTCTTTGTCGTTTCGCTTTTCCTCAGAGGACGCTCGCGCTCACGATCCTCACTTTTGTCAGCGGGCGGTACGCCAAGTCCCTCCCCTCCCTCGGGTCGGTCCCCACAAAGGAGGCGGCCGCCGTCCCCAAGCCCGCCGCCGCGAGGGCCTCCCGTCGGGCCAGCCGCAAGCCCTGGCCCACCAAGCCAGCGAAGCCGAGCCCGAGGCCGAGCCTACAGGAATTGCGTGGCAGCCTCGCTGGTCGTGGCACGCGCGAGCGGCGAGGCCCGAGGCATGAGGCGGCGCCGCAGGCCGTACAGCGCGGCGACGCCACCCAGCTCGCTCACCGCGGACGGCTGCCGCGCAGGCAAGTCATTGAGCGTCGAGAGGAGCCTGAGGCCCGCGCCGCCGTCCGCCTCGCCCAGCACCTCCCCAACCACGATGCGCGTCGCGTCGAGCGCACGGTTGGCGCACGGCGTCAGCCCGAACTCAAAGGCGCGGCCGCCACGGCGCATCGACAGCAAGCCAGCGCGGTCATGTGGCAGGGCGTTGGAGTCGTCGTTGGCAAAGGCGTCGGCGCGGCTGAGTGTCTCGGTGCGGACGTAGCCGGTGGCGTCGATCTCGCGATCCACCTTGCGGCCGTTGCCGCCTACAGTCGTAGACGTGGACGAGGCTGCGGCGACCCCTGCGGACTCATACAGACGCAGCAAACGAGAGCTGCACCAGAGAGCGAGCCTCCAACGATGATTCTGTCGCGCTCGATCCGGGAGATGCTCGACCCAGCGTAGGTGAGCGTTTTGGGCGGCCGACCCGCGTCCGAGATGCCTCGACAAAGCCCTTCAAAGAGCGCCACAGATTCAGGCGCCGCGGTGCCGTACAGGCCTAGCGACAGCGTCTGTGGAGGCGAGTCGCCGATGGCGATGCGAAGCTCTGCCCTGGAGGTGATCTGAGGCGATGCGAGAGCGAGCGCGAGCGTGAAGAGGGCGTGCATACATGCACGCTTGGATGCACGTCAGGCAGCTGGATGATGGAGGCAGTCCTCGGGAAAAGAATTCTGGCAATACAGGCCCCTCTCACAAAAAGAATTTGGGAAAACTCCAGCAACAATGGGCACGGGACTGGCGCGCACTGGCACTAACACAGGTACACGCTCGGGAAAAGAATTTTACAACAAAACTCCCTCGCACAACACTGGGCACGGGACTGGCGCGCACTGGCACTAACACAGGTACACCACGGGAAAGAATTTTAGAACAAAACTCCCTCGCACGACACCGGGTACATACGACTCGTGCCGCCGCCCCTGCCACCCCTGTGTCAGTGTGCCTGTGGTAGGAGAGACTGCCAGCGACAAGCTGGAGGCAGGTCGCTAGACTGAGATGAGACCGCCAGTGGATGTGGGAGTCCACCGCGCACCGCGCTGCGAGCCTGTCGTGTCCCTTGTCAGGAGCAGGAGAGCCCCACCTGTCCCCCTGATCGTTCTTCCAAAATCCTGCTCGTGCAGGTGGGGACCCTGTCCTCGTCCCATCCCTCGTTTGGCGTGTCTGTTTTCTTTCTTTCTTTCTTAGAGAGTTCTTTTGTTTAAATTCTTACACCGGGTACATGAGATAGGAAGAGGCAGACTCCCTAGGGTGGGCGACGGCTAGCGCACCACACCCCTCTCCTTAAAATCCCTGTGTGGTGGCGGCGTGCCGTTCTCCCATCCCTCCCTTGGGTTGTCTGTTTTCTTTCTTTCTTTTACACCGGGTACAAGCCGTCGCCCTCACAGATGCCGTCCTCCTCACAGAAGGCGTCGTCGGAAAGTGCTCGGGAAAAGAATGGGAAAAGAATTTTCTTTAAGAACCATCCAAAAAGGAAAAAATCTTTCACGGCCGACCACAAGACAGCCTTTCGGGTCGTGAAGGGTCGGTGCGTGTCGTACCCCCTGGAACACCCGTACCCCCGCACCATCTCTGGAAGAAATCACTGTGAGAGTCGTGATCGCCGCTTTCCTCCCGCTGTGATTCTGTGTGAGCTATGTGTCTTGATTTGCCAACAATAGACCTACAACGAGCCTGAGCGCCCCCACACCTCGCTGTGGGAACCCCGCCATGGGTGAACGTTGAAACGACCGTCATGAAGGTCGACTTCTACGCCTCGAGCGTCTCGGGCGTGTACCTGCTGCTGGTGCTCGACTCGGCCATCTGCGCCTTTGGCAATGCGGTGGACTCGCCCGGCGCGAGCCAGCCTACTGAGCTCGCGCTCCTTGTGCTGCAGGCACCACGCACCATCTGCAGACGCGCACCATTGCTGCACTGTCATTGCTGCGACCACCGCGCCGCTCTGATCACGTGTATATGCCCTCGCCGGCTGTCTGCCCCTGAAAGTCCTCACCCGCCTCCGTGCTCCCGCAGTTCCTCCTGCGACTGATGGTGTTCGCAATCACGGCCAGCGTGGTGGCGTCGGCTGCAGCGGCGCGAGTCTCGACCGTCGATGCGCTGCTGTCGTACAAGGGTATCGCATAAAGCGGTTCCCGCACGCACACTGTCCCATGTCTCTCCCAGTCTCTAAGCTCCGATGGCAGGCTCGCTCGTGACTCAGATCTTCGGCCTGCTCTCCTGCCTGGTGCTGCGCGTGTACCGCGCGATGATCTCCTCGTGCGTCCTGCCAGCGAGAGAGGGAGGGGGGATGTGACGGAGATGCTGGAACACACCCACAAGAACACATGCTGCCTTTGCTGTCGCCAGCTGCTAGCCTCACGCCGCCCTCTCCTCCCCTCAGGCCGAACAGCGACTATCGAACGCTCACTGAGCAGTGGCAGCAGTCCCTCCACCTCGCCCTCTACCTCGTGTACATTTGCGGCACGCTCGCCCTCTACGGCGCTTGCGCGAGCGCAGCGGCAAACCTTGGCCGCCGCCCGGCCCTGCAAGTCGACAGGTGACGCGTCTGCGCGTCGAGTTAGTAGTATGCGTCGGGTCCGCGGTCCGGTCCGCGCGTCGCGGTGTGTGTCTCCGTGCGCCGGCCGCGGAATTGTCTAATTCTATTTTGTGGAATATCTCGTGATGTATGTGTCCAAGACACGTGTAGTTTTTATTCCTCGCGGCGGCAAAGCTGCGGCGCGCGCAATTATACACCGAGCGTACTACAACGCCCCTCTCTAGCCAAACTGTTTCGCGCCCGGCGCGAGCAGCCCCTCGACCGCACCTCCTCCCTCGCCAAGCGCAAGCCTCGCGGCCAGCCCCTCGAACGCCACACGCGCTCGGAAGCGGAGCACCGCGCTCCACACGCGCCACGCCGCGAGCCAGAGCGCGGTGCGGCGGCGGCACGCAGCGCATGCGCGGAGCAGCTGCCCGGGCAGCCACGCCGCGCCCGCGGCCGCAGGCTCGGCGCGAGCGGACGGGCGGCGCCGGTGCGCGCCTCGCGTCGCGTACGTTGCCATGGTGACGAATCGCTGGCGAGTGGTGCCGCCCAACGCGCGGTTGAGCGAGCGGACGAGGCCCCACGTCCGCATCACGAAGAGCATGTCGCGCGGGAGGCGGCCGAGAAACGCGTTCACCTGGCCGAGATTGAGTCGAGACTGAGCCGAGGTCGAGCCGAGGTCGAGCCGAGATAGCGCCGAGGCGCAGCGTGGCATGCCGTCCGCCTCAGCTGGCCCAACGCTGGCGTATCGCTCGCGGATCGCGCGCCGCTCCGTCGCCGACATGCCTAGCGCCGAAACGCGGCCGAGAGGTGGGCGGGGAGCGGCCGAGAGACGCCCCGCTGTGCAGCCGGCGCGCCCGAGCCGAGGGGAGCACGTGAGCCGGGCGGTCGGAAGGTGAGCGCGATGGCGAGGGTCTCGTAGTCGTCGGGCGGCACGCCTGCGGGGCCGAGTCGCGGACGGCTCGGTCTCGGCTCAATCTCGGCTCAATCTCGCCTCAATCTCGGCCTTATCTCGGCCCAACCCCGGCTCAATCGCCCGTCAATCTCGGCTCCGTCTCGGCGGAAGGCGCACCGAGCGCGCTTGCGGCGGCGCGGCCCGCGGCGTCGTCCTGCGCTAGCAGCGCGCACCACAGCTGCGCGTATGCGAGGCGGTAGTCCTCGCTCAGGCGGCGGTACAGGCCGTGGTCAAGCAGCACCTACGAGCAGCACTGCCCTCGCCCAATCTCGACATCAGCTCGACATCAGCCCGACGTCGGCCCGACATCGTCTCGGGCGCGGCCGTGGTCGAGCAGCGTGACACGATTGCGGTGATTGCGGTGGGCCGAGGGCGCGTGTGTGCGCGCGTGGGGCGCGCGCGTGAGTGAGTGAGTGTGTGTGCGTGCGCGCGCGCGCGCGCGCGCGCGTGTGTGTGTGGCTGCGGGAGGGCCGCGAGCGGTGCGCCAGCTGGGCGCCGCCGCCGCCGCCGCCGCCGCCACCGCCCCGCCCGTCTCTCGCCCCAGCCTGCGGCATTCGCCTCGCCAGCAGGTTGCCCGCGTGCGGGTCACAGTGCACAAACCCGTGCTCGAAGACCATCGCCTACCCGCAGCCGCGCCCAGACGTTCGCAGTCGTGCCGCGCGTGTGCCCTCTCCGCGCCTCACCGCCGCCCGCCGAGAAAGTAGCCGTCAGCAGCGGCGCCACCTCTGCAGGCTGGACGCCGGCCGCGAGCAGCGCGGCGGGGTCGTCGAGCTTGGCGCCTGCCGCGTGGCGGAGATGTGGGGAGATGTGGGGAGATGTGCCGAGATTTGTCCACATGTGACCACTGCTTCCCGCAGCCCGTGCTCTCCGACGACTAGGAGTCCCAATGCTGCTGCCTGAGCTGTTATCTCTGACCCCCTGTGCTGCCTGGATCCCGTGCGTATCTGAACTGCCTACTAGACTGATCCGGGCTGGGGCTCCCCGAGGCATCCAGGCGTACTAGGTCTCTAGTAGGCAACCAGGGACTACAGGCGGGCCTGCAGACCCAACAAAATAAAACATTTCTTTCGTTCGCGGTTCGTTCGCATTCAGACAAACATCCCTGGTATTCCTCGGCCTGCGGGTGTGAAAAGGGTCGGTGGGGGAATATAAAAATAAAAGGCTCTAGTTCACGAACTAATTCGAGGCACGAGGTTTCGGCGCCCAAGGGCGAACGACCGAACCCGATGCAGCGAACCAAGGTGATGCCGTCCACAGCGAACTCCGAAACCTAACGAACGAACCGCGAGCGAGTTCACCGAACCAGTTCATGAACCATTTCA